ATACGCTGATACAGAGGTGGCAAATCCAAGCAGTGTGTGCAGTGTCTCAATCCAAACATCAGCTCCTCAGAGTAAGAGGGAGCGCTGCCATCGTGGCACTTGTGGTCTGGAGGAAGGTGGGAGCAGTCTGTGCTGTTGCTGATTTGCTGTGTCTGTTTGGGAGTCCGGCAAGATGCCGATGAGCCATTGGTTGGGAAAAGTGCAGCCACCCTGGCAGCTGGAAAACTCATGCTGCTCATTAGAGAAGTCATTCTTATTCTGAAGAATTTTCTTTCCAAATGTTTTGGGTTTATTCTGTGTACAAGTAAAATTTCAGTCGTTTGTACTCCAGAATATTTTGCCTGACCTCAGGGCAGGTGCTTTTTTAGATGTATCCTGCGTTTTATTCCCCTGTGTCATAACTCTCCCTAGGGAGTAAGTGTCCAGTATTTTCAATATTGCCTTCCTCAGAAGGGAAATTTGAGCTGCATTCCTTCACTTCCAGTGAAGCTGGCTGAACTTAAGTAAGAACTCTTAATGTCTCCTTTCCTTAACATCCAAAAGAAAATTCTCCAGAGATTGTTTTGTTGAGTAGTGTGGTCGTGCACATGGAGCAGGAGTGAGGAAAACAGAAAACAGAGCCGACAGCTACCTCCTTCAGGGTAGTTACGAAAGGGAACAGGACAGTACAAAGGTCACAGCTCAAGCCTGCCGTTTCCTCTTGGCCGAGGGTCAGCTCCTCAGAACAAGGTGATGTCTTTAGGTCAATTTTAATCCATTGTATAGAGCAGCCAACTAACATCTTCAGCAAGATGCTGAATATTCGTTTTATTCATGTTACAATAACTGACTGAAAAAGACAGTTCTCATGACCTTTTCCTAAGGTATATGAGGTTTACGTTTAAGGTACAAGCTACACACACTACAGTTTTACTACCATGGCTTCCTGTTGTGCTTTCTGTATGGGGGAGGTAAACCTGCACACACATAAAAGCCATTGCATGAATGTTTGAATGTGTGACAGGTTTGCCTGTCCTGTACACAGGCAAACAAGCAGAGAGAAGAAAAGAGAAAATATTCATGACATTCATGTGACATATTGCTGGGTAAAATATTTTCAGACAGAAACATATTTTTTTTTCATTATTTTCTCCTGTTAGATTTGTCCAGAGGTTACAACATACTGGGAATCTGCAATTTAATTTATCTGAGGGTACTTTGAGGCTCAGGCCTCACTGAAATAATATAATAAAGTAAAATGGTATTTTGTGAGAGTTTTGTTACTTGACTAGAGTGCAGTGCTGCAAACTCTAAGCACTTTTTCCCTGCCTATCAGCATGATGAAGTAAAAATACTCTGCAGAACTGAGCCTTTTCGTTTTATTTTACATTGTTATTCTTGGTGCCTTTTGGAGACTCAAACACTAAGATTGCCTTCACACTAAGTCACTGCTTGATACACTTTTTCATAGTCTGTATATTAACTAAGCACAATCTAAATTCAGTGTAATAAGGTTGTTTTCCTGTAAACACAGTAGTGAACTGGATTTGTTCAGTGTATTTGCTGTTACAGAAACATCTCTGTTGGTTTCCATGCTTTGTTCACATCTGACTAAGGCAGACACCTTATTTACTGTGCGGTAGTGATACTGTGATTTTTTATTTAAGCAAAATAAGGAAATTTGTATAAATTCTGTTCGTATGTTATAGAATTACTTCTGGTTAAAGTGTTGCTTGAACTTTCAGACCTTTCCAATTGAACTGTAATTAAACAGGGACTTGAATTAATGGTTCATATTAATAACATATACAAAACACTGATTCTCTTAGAAGGATAAATACAGAAAGGAATCAGATTTATCTTTTCACATTTCAATTTAAAGTAAAATATTTTGCTGTTTTGGGGTTGATTTCTTACATATATTTAAGTCTGTCTTATTTGTTTGGTTTTTTTTAATCAGGTTGCTGTTGCCATTTCATTTCAATTTTCGTAATTTATTTCTCTTCACATGGTATTTTGGTTAATAAAATATACAAAGTTGTAAGTAACCCTCTGTTACTGAATATTTTTATTTAAACAATGCAGTGATTAACTTGCAGAGAGCTAAAGATTAAGCAACAATCAGTTAAGTTTTTAATATACTGAAAACGTGAGCTACCTAAGACACACAAAATCCAGTATCTGAAAACAAAAGAAAAAGTTAGTTATCTTGGTGGAAATTAGTAAACTATTATGGCAGGCTCATAGAATCACAGAATGGTTTGGGTCAGAAAGGACCTTAAGATCATCCAGTTCCAACCCCCTGCCATGGGGAGGGACACCTCACACTAGACCATGTTGCCCAAGGCTCTGTCCAACCTGGCCTTGACCACCTCCAGGGATGGAGCATTTACCACTTCTTTGGGCAATCCATTCCAGTGCCTCACCACCCTCACAGTAAAGAACTTCTTCCTTAAATCTAACCTGAACTTCCCCTGTTTAAGTTTGAACCCTTTACCCCTTGTCCTATCACTACAGTCCCTGATGAAGAGTCCCTCCCCAGCATCCCTATAGCCCCCCTTGAGATACTGGAAAGCTGCTATGAGGTCTCCATGCAGCGTTCTCTTCTCCAGGCTGAACAGCCCCAGCTTTCTGAGCTTGGGATATAACAAAAAGTAAAACATATAGCACATCATGACTAAGTCTAATAAATTTTTATATTTGCCAGGTCGTTTCAGAAAGCACATGACAATGCACTTTCATATTTTCCTCTGTTCCTGCAGTAACAAAAGTTCAAGGTGTCCAGTGATGCATAACTGATATTTGAGGGATTTTCCCTCAGGAACTTAAAAGTAATACCTGTAAGTATGGGAATTCTTATTTATTAAACATATTAATGAATACTGAGTCACAGGAAGGGCAAATGTGTGTTCTTTGTGCTTCTGGCAATATAGTTAGGCAGAACGAAGTAGAAGTATTTAATAACATTTCCATTCCTACTACAGTAATTTTGGTGTGAATTGGATTGGTTCTTACTGCCTTTCTCTTAGATGGGTTACTGAGACCCACAGCTGCAGCTGGTAATTTTCTGTCTTTGCTGGTTGGAGTGTATAATGGTCTTTGTCTTTTAAAACTGAAGTTTGAGAACCTGTTTGACTTATCTCTTGGGACAAGACTAGACATGGTGAGGAACAGATCATTCTTGGATCCTGGGGCATTGCGAAGGCATTCTTATTTTCAGCACTTAGAAATGTCAAACAAGTAATACAAGCAATTGCAAATACTTGGATAGATTTACTTGTTCATGGATCACCTCTTATGTTTTTGGACAAGTAAGTTGTTTATCCAAATCCTAATTTTTACACATATTAAAGTATCTTTTTTCCTCAATATAACCAAAAGTGAGTATTCAAGAACTGAATAGTAAAAAAAAAACCCAAACTTAAATTAAAAGCTACTTTAATTTGAATTAAGTTTTAGCTACAAAATACTCAGTATATTTCAAGCTAATAAATATTCAAGAATTAACAAATTTGTAATGTTTTTTGTGCACATGACATCATTCATCTTCAATTAAAATTTCCTCTGTTTTGGCTTCATTAAAACAATGTTTTTATTAAGAGTAAAGATATGACAGAAAATACTGATCAAATGCAAAGCATGGTCTAGTCTGGTGATGAGCAGCCATCAGGGTTATTACTCAGAAATGGAAAAACACTTGAAAAAATGCTGGTTTGATTTTTTTTCTTTTGTGCCAGTTAAATCAGTTACATCTCAGTGGTACAAGAATAAGCACTGATGTTTCTTTAGGGTATGAAATTGAGTTTGGCGAACTTAATTCCCAATATTGCCTTATTTCCTTCTTCTATAAAAAGGGTGTCTTGTAACAATCCTGGCTTTGTCTAAACGATGAAAGACTGAAGATGGTTTGCTTGTATAAATCAGTAGCGGTGTGTCAGAACTAGCCAATCTTACGACAGCAGAGCACTCTTCTGTTTTGACATTGGGTTTTGTTTTGGGTTTTTTCAGGGCTAGATTGTTCTCTGGGTCAGAAGCATAATTTTACTCATTCAGTGTAGTATATGTGGTCTTATATTCATTTGTGAACAAAATTATTGGTGGTATAGCTACTATTTAACATAGGTTATATTACTGAAAATGCAGTGACTTGAATTTGATTATAAAGAAAAAAAGTGAGTAAATACTCCTGTATTTCTAAACCCAAGAAGTGGCAGCTACTGATCAGCACCTCTGTGGTTATCAGCACTCTTTCTTCAGCCTCATGCAAAGAATACATGTAAAAAGTTACCTTTGAATACTGACATAAGTGGCAAGAGCTGCAAAGTTGTTCTTCTAAGGGGAAGTGAGATTTGCCATCTACTGCAGCAGAGAGCCAGCTGCCCCTCTGCAACCTCAACTGTCACTAATTCATCTACTAAAATGAACGTGGGTATTAATGAGACTTTTCTTGCTGTGAAGTTGGCTTCATGTCATATCATATATCCTGTGAGAGATCATCCATCATGTTTGCTTCAGAGCACTTCCTTTCTACGTTTTCAAGGAGGAAACAGAAACAGCCAAGGAACACAAACATACTTTTCTCTCTGTGACTGAAACAACAGACAGATGTTCACATTCCTTAGAAAAAACAGTCATTTAGATGAAAAAAATAGGTGCTTTTTTTTTTTTTTCAAATAACTGAAACACAACAATGGGAAATATGGTGGGAAACTTCAAAAAATGAAATATGCTATCACAGAATGAGCAATAAGATATTTTAGTGGAATTCTAAAATCTCTCCACTATTCTACCACAACCTGCAAAATGTAACTATTTATGTATAAAATTATTTGGAATGGCTACTTCCTGAAAAAAATCAAACACATAACTATCATTCATTAATATTACATCTATAATACATTTTGTATTTTTGTTGATGTTTGTACATAATTCAGTGAGCAAGCAAATTTATTTTTAATAACTCCATATGTTTTATTTCTCCCAAACAGTTCCTACAGGAAATTTTGAAAGAGAGCTTGAACTTTTTCTGATTTTTAAGATAGGAGAATTCCTGCAAGTAAATTAAAGAGAGGATGGGGTGGATTTGGGAGGCTGAAAAATACCCTACAGAATCTTAAATTTATGCAGAATCCTTACTTTTTCTATGAATGCATAAAACCTCTTATTCCTTGCAAAGGAATTAGCTACTTTTAGGTTTTAATTTCATGTCAGAACCATTTTTCCAGTCTTGTTCTGACCAGCCAATCTTTTTTTAACAGGCTTTTCTGTGAAAATATAAAAGACTACAGCAATAAAAATGAGTAAGGAAATCACCTTATTTTTGTGAACACTAAATTTCATGGAATACAATAATTTTTAATTACATTTTTTTAATAAGTGTAGATTAAAGATTTCTCTCTTGATGAAGGACATCACTCTTCTTTGTCAGTGCAGATACTTCAAAAGTATGGTGCTTTAGAACATGGAACACAAAACTCCTGAGCTCACAGTTTCAGAGGACAGCACAATCTTAGTGACTTCACATATATTCGTGTATCTATGGTCAAGTGGTATCTCGCACAGGAAGACTAAATTGAGACACGTGTCCTGTAATACGCACAATGAATTAAGTTTCAGTTGAAAGAGCCAAGTTTCACATTAAAGTCCAAACCTATCATCACTAGGTGTGGCGAGAGGAGCTTACACAGGCACATCTCCTGTTCTAGAGAACTGCAAACAACTTAAAGCACGATGGCAACCTGTTCTCTGCAGCCACGTAAGCATGTGCAGCATAGATTAGTTCATTATGCAGGTGTTTGATTTGTACAGGCTTTGGCCTGCAAAACCATGCTGTAATATCATACTCCTATGTTCTGTGACGTGTTTGAATTACACCAACATTACAGGTGAAGACACTGACTAGTGACTTGATAGAAACACAGACATGTGAACAGCCAAAGTTAAATCAGTTCTGGCTGTATGTTAAATGCAAATTAATCTGGGTTTCTTTTATCTTCTAGTATTAAAAATAGAAGCTTATATATTAATGATCAAAATGATACCTATTTCTTTGACTGCCTAGTGCAGTGTTCTGTGTGTACAATTGATTTGTATCCAAAAAAGACACTGACAGCTTTAACACACTTTCTGAATTGATGTGTAAGTGTAATATGTTCCTACTAGTACAGGCTAGACAGAACCACCAGTCTGTGGCTTCAGCCCACTCTTCTGCACTTACTCCATTTCACCCTTGGCAAAGTAGAACCATGATGTTTCTGTCTTGAGCCCTCTATGCTTTATCTGTCTAGCAAGATACTTCAGAATATATATTTACACATTTTGTCCTCTAATATTAAACACCAGACCCACTGAAAATTTCAGAGGATATACGTAATATTTTTCCAACTATTAATATGATAAACCCTGTTAACTTTAGCAAAATCTTTACATGACTGTTGCTTTGATGTACAACATTACAAAAAAGTACAGCCATGGAGCTTTTGTCAACATGCTTTCCTAACCAAAGTACATCATTTTGCAATACCTGCTAAGTGTAAACTACTTGCTTTTGTTCTTTGAACTGTATCGATCTGTTGGGTAATCCAACTTGCTCTTCAAAGGCCCGATAAAAAGGCTGGAGCACTCAAGAAAATAGTACTTTTTAAATTTAGTAACAGTTTGGAGTATTTTTCAAAGCCAGTGAGAAACCTGGTTTGTAACCATGTTAATTCTTTAAATATTACTAAGCATTCCTGTTCTTATAAACATCTAGAAATAAATACACAATCATTAATTTTGAAATAGCATTGTGCTAGTTTTGACTGAGATAGAGTTAATTTTTTTCAGAGCAGCTGGCATGGGGCTGTTTTAGATTTGTGCTGGGAACAGTGGATAACACAGGGATGTTTTTGTTAAGTGCTGAGCAGTGCTGACAGAGTCAAAACTTTTTCTGCTCCTCACCCCATGAGTGAGTAGGCTGGGGGTGCACAAGAAGGGATCCACGCTGGAGCAGTCTATTCCTGAAAGACTGCATCCACGGAAGGTACCCACACTGGAGCAGTTTGTGAAGAGCTGCAGGATGGACTCATGTTGGAGAAGTTTGTGAAGAACTGGCTCCTGGGGTAGGCACCCCACACTGGAGCAGGGGAAGAGTTTGAGGAGTCTTCCCCTTGATGGAGAAAGGAGCCATGCCCTATTCCTTGATGCTGCTGGAGGAGAGAGAAAGTAAAGAATTCGGGAGTAAAGTTAAACCTGAGAAGAAGGGAGGGGTGTGGAGAAGACGTTATGTTTTTATTTCTCATTATCCTACTCTGATTTGATTGGTAATAAATTAAGCTATTACCTCCCCCCCCAAGATGAGTGTTTTGCCTGTGACAATGTGTGAATAATCTTCCCCTGTCCTTCTCCGATACAAATAATTTTTCAGAGATTATCTTAAGACTGAAACTTCATATGCTTGTAAAATTTTCCCATGCTCGTAAAACGTTCTTTAGCAAAGCAGCAAGCCAGTTTTACAACCCCCCAGTAACCACAGCAATCAGCTACAAATAAAGACAACTATGAAAGAGACACTGTAAGATGTATTTGTTTCCCTTCACCTGACTGTTCTGAGATATAAAGAAACCAATGAATACAAGGTTGTATTTATAATAAGCAGCCAAAATGGGCAATAAGAAAGATGAAATTACTCACACGTTAAAAAGGGCAAACACCAGACTCGAGATTCCATCCTTTCTAAATGGCATCTGCTGTGTACACCTTCAGGGAAAATCCCAGTAAGCAGGACAGGACACTGCAACAGCTATCTGTCTTGCTACCAAAACTGAGTGTTGCTGATGTGTTTTTACTGGGAAATGACACCATTGATCATGAAATCAAAACAGTTCATAACTGTAATGAAAATGGTACATGAAAAAAATGTTTCTTAATGAGGATAACAGCTATTTGAATGTCATAGAACACCAATCTAAGATGTTACAATACCAGGAGTGAGGTGTACCCTACAACACTTACTGGAAATTCCAAGTTACATCTGAGCTAAGTTTAAGCAAAGAAATAAACCCAGGCTCTTCTTGATCTGTATAAGTGGTAAGCGTTACCCATACTGCGTGTTACACTACTCTTGGAAACATTAAAATGACAATTTCACAAATGCTCCCATGAATTCCTCACATGCCTGAAGAATAAACAAAACTCTAAAAATACTTAATTGCATCAATTCCCACAATCATTTGGTGTAAACATGTAAGACAGTTCCTAACTCACAGGTGGTTTGACTCTTGGCTGTTTGAATTTCCATATTATCATAGAATAGCTTGGGTTGGAAAGGAACTTAAGATCGCTCCTGTTCCAACCCCCCTGCCATGGGCAGGGACACCTCACACTAAACCATATCACCCAAGGCTCTGTCCAACCTGGCCTTGGACACTGCCAGGGATGGAGAATTCACAACTTCCCTGGGCAACCTATTCCAGTGCCTCACCACCCTTACAGTAAAGAACTTCCTCCTTATACCCAATCTAAACTTCCCCTGTTTAAGTTTTAACCTGTTACCCCTTGTCCTATCACTGCAGTCCCTAATGAAGAATCCCTCCCCAGCATCCCTATAGGCCTCCTTCAGATACTGGAGGGCTGCTATGAGGTCTCCACGCAGCCTTCTCTTCTCCAGGCTGAACAGCCCCAACTTCCTCAGCCTGTCTTCATACGGGAGGTGCTCCGGTCCCCTGATCATCCTCATGGCCTCCTCTGGACTTGTTGCAACAGTTCCATGTCCTTTTTATGCTGAGGACACCAGAACTGCACACAATACTCCACCAGTCACTATGATATTTAAGTACATACCATTAGTAGTGTCTCTGTGGTCCAGCTCGCAGTGGACAGCAGCTGTCCAGTTATAAGTGCAAGGTTTTTCTCAGTCACAAAAGTTTTCCTCAATTAATAGCTATTTAAGTAGTGATCAAGATTAACCACTTCTCAGAACAGAAGAATTAGCACATGAACACAACCATGACTACTGGCATATTTAAAAGGTGGGAGGTGTCAAAAATACGTTGTTGAACACTAGACATCACTCAAAGCAGGAGTGCAGCTGTGTTAGCAAGGAGGGTGAACACCAAACCTGTCAGAAGTGGAGTCTCCATTCTCTTTGACCATTACTCAAAGGAAACACCTCACCGAACTCACTGCATCAGAGGAGCGGGTCAGACAAACGAGGACAAGAGCTATTCTGACCGGCTCCCGGATCTCCCATCGCGGCAACCCCGGCCTCTTCCCGGCCGCAGCCACGCCGCGGAGGCCGCTGGACACCGCTGCTCCCGCCGGAGGGCGGCCCGGGCACTGTGTGAGGCGAGGCTCCGCCCACAGCCAACCGGCGGCCCCCGTTGGGAAAGCGCGGGAGGCAGCGGCGGCAGGAAGGGCCCGCTGTGGTGAGGAGCGGCGGGCGGACCCAGGGCCGGGGACAAGCACGGCGGGGCTCGCTGTGGCTTTTGGGAAGGAGGTCCAAGTCCAGAGAACCCCTTCACCCCTACAGCACGGGCGGCCAGTAACTATTCCTTTTAAATGCTCTGGTTTTAGCATCTGATGAGTGAATACAGTTAAGGATTTGAGAAGGGGTTTCTATCATAGCGAAGGCCTGAACTTCATCATTAAAGTAGAAGCCCTCAGTTTGGCACAGAACAGCCTTATTTGCTATGCTATCAGGAGTTAGGAGGACATCATGCAGCATTTCTCTGTGTGTGCGTATATATATAAAATAGCCAAATTAGAACAGGTGCAATTTTTCTAAGAGCAGAAGTTACTTTAGTTACACCAAAGACTCCCCATTCCACAAGCTATGAACACACTAATACTGTACACTCTCTAAACTGCTGTAATCAATTTTACAACATTTCAATGCTAATAGAGCCAGACATGACTCACATACATTTTACATTAGATTAGCACTGATTTTACTCCCTTTCATTTGCTAGGAAAGAAGGTCACCATATAACAGTTAGGGTTGGAAAGGACCTTAAGATCATCTAGTTCCAATCAAACTGATCAGTATTCATTCACTTACCTTGAACCCTATACAAACACTCCTGTTACTTCTCAATGCCACCCTACAGCGTTACCCTCATTTGTAATCTTGATGAGAATTTTGAATTTAAACACTAAAGCAAAAAGTTATCCAACTAAGCAAAACTTTCATATAGCTTCAGATTTGTGGTACTTAAGCAAGACCCAGGGGATTAGCTACTGTAGTGTTTATTGCAATACTCCCCAGCAAGGCTTCTGCAATGAGTACTTCTTCCAACTGCAGAAGGCATGCGACTTTCACTTCTGACTCATGTTGAGTTGCCCTGGGCCTCAACTTCATTACTGCTCACTTTAAGCAGGACAGAACTTGTTTACTGCTTGAGGAGCTGAAGTTATATGCAAGATCTCAGGCTTTAAGAGTTTGATCTTTACAGGTACATCAAGATCACAGGGTTCTATGTGATCGAATTCACTTCCATTACTAGGCAATAGCTCCTTACCCAAATCCCCAGCTCTGAAGTTCAGGACTTTATTCAGGCCACCTTTACCCAGGAAGCTACACAGCTTTAATGTAACTTAAGGCCACAGTCATGTGCTTTTCGGTTTACATTATGCACACTTTTGTAATGCAAAGATAAAAGACAAGGCTGAGCACACCCAAGTGCCAGATTTTATAGTGCTGCCCTTCTTTTGATCTTAATCATACAACTACAAGCTAATGGGTAACTGGCATATTCTCACTTCCATGTAGTGGGAAAGACTAAGGACAAGTGTTGTATATCCAAGGAAGCTTGCCTTCAGAAAGGCCAGTCTTCCACTTCTGTGAAGTGTTGAAACTGAGTACTGATGCCCAGAAATTTAGCATAAATAGTCACAGTTCTGACCTGTGTTTTAGAAATTACCAAATTGACACAGAACATGAAAAATACAGCCAGCCTTTGTTAGTCACTTCTATGCTTCATGCTCTGGGAACTGTAGTATTGCTTAACTGTGACAGATCAAATCATGCTCCACTACTTAGTAGCAAAGTTATGGCAAGTGTAAAGAGTACCTTACTACTGCAACATGAAAACCATTAATATCCCCATTCTAATAGAGCTGTAAAAGGCCTCTAGAATTGAGATATCTACAGACAGCTCAGCAGACCAAACTTTCAGAAGTTTAGCCTGCATTGCTTTCAGGTCTCCTGATGATGATACATAAGAACAGTAGACAGTATGCTCTTTCCACAAGTTTAATAGAGTTACAAAAGGATACCACTGCTCTATATGCAACACATGTCTAACCACATACACTGCATTGTCACTAAAGTCATTAGGGCTTAATGTACAGATACTGATCATTAAGATTTTCTGTGAAGGTACTGTCAACAGGACAAACTTTCCTTCAAGTAAAAAAAAAAAAGTTACTGCTTATACCTATAGGATGATCCCTCGACTCAGATGCAATGACTTAGTCAAAGTTCAGTAACTGATGCTTGCTCTTTACATAAGGCATACTAGTTTCCATGCAGACTGGAGGTTTATTTCTGCTTGGAGAAATACTCTTTACTTTTGTGAACATCAGGCTTGATTGTGTCACTGCCAGGCTTCCAGCCAGCTGGGCACACTGAAATGATAAGAATGTTTTAAGTCTTACCAGCTGCTCCCCCAGAACATGTTTTTTACATAACATTAAAGCAAACTAGCAACTCAAAACATGTATACGCCTATGCAACATACAGAAGGTGAATTATTCAGTGTAGCAATATGTTAAATTCATTTTACTCATTTACATTTGTTTACTAGGTAGTAGCACGCAAGGAACTTTGTGTTTGACCATGGAACAGAGGGCCCTTTACGCATACACCCATCCCCACCCTGCTTAAAAGCTTCACAGAAGCTTGACAGCAAGGTCACACCAACTCCAGCAGCCTGGATGAGAAAGGCTTTATAAGGATTACAGTTTACTTCTCTGCTCAGATCCAGTCAAGTCTATATTCTCATCTTTAAGTCAACCTTAGTTACATCCTCCAGTTTAAAGGGGAGGGGGAGGAAAAGTTAAACTCTAGTTCCCCTATATGGCTATCAAAATGCTACCAAGATGCAAAGGTTGCATGGCCTCAAAACTGCAGTATTTTTTGGACATGGTCTTCCTCATCTACAGCCATGCAAAGCAAAATGCTTGCTCCACACACAACCAGCAGTCTTAACTATAGTATTGTCAGCTTTTGACTGTTGCTCCACACCTTATTCTGGTCTATCCTGGTTTAGATGAGACTGCAGTACTAGTTCTGGAAGAAAATTTGCCAGCTTTTGGCTACTCCAGGGGCACAGTAAATCCCCAAAGGCTTCGCTTGCATGACATGTGACTACTCCACCATCAAGTATTAGGGACATGTCCTCAGCTGACAGAGGATGGCATACAAATGAAACACTGAATCTCTTCAGGCTAGCACCTAGCCACAATTACAGCTCATTTTAATAAAACCTGCCATTTATGTACCAGTTCTGAAGCAAGCTACATGTGACCAGCAGTCACATGTACTGTACTTTAACCAGTGACAGCCAAAGACTGCTAACACCTGCACAGCAATTTTGAGTTTCCATAACCTTTCAAAACTTCCATCTCCATTGCCCTTTATTTTTTTAAATACCTGCAGAAAAGCTACCAGCCTGAAGCACATTATCGTTTCTGAACTATGGGCACAAAGACTCCGTTTTCCCCTCATCTATCTTCCCCTCACTACATTGTGTCCATGTGTAGCAGGGCCAAAAGTCAGCAGGCTTTCTGGGAATTTGGAGACCTTGTCTAACACTGCATAAAACTTTGCATTAGTATTAATAGTCTCAACTTACCAAATCTGAGAGGAAAGCCTAAATTATGCTTACCCTTGCAGCTTAATTATTACATGTTCTTAATTTCCATCTCAAGTATTTTCTGTATCTAACTGAAAGGGATACAACTACTATGTGCTCAGCAAGCCACCCAGCACCAAACTGATTTAAATGGTATTTCAGCACAATTAAGTGGAAATTAAGGACAATTAAGTGGAAAAAGACAGAGCACTATGGTGTCCTTCAACAAGTAGCTTTACAGAACCAGTGCCATTTCAGACTGATTGCTACATGTACTTAATACCTGCAATTAATACATGTACTGCATACCTTTCTGCAAACCTTGATTTAACCTGCTTTGCTTTGTTAATACTGTGCTCTAGAAAAACACACTCAAGATTAGAAAGAGGAAGAACTCTTACCTTCTCCATGCTTATCTGTAAACTGGAAGGCCTGGACAAGCCTGAGGGTTTCATCAACAGAACGGCCAACAGGAAGATCATTGATTGTTATCTGCCTCAAGATCCCCTTCTCATCAATTATGAACAGGCCCCTAAAAAAAAAAAACAACAAACCACAAATAAAAAACAAAACAGCCCCAAAGTTAAACACAGCTTTCAAAAGACTCAAGCTCAGTATTCCATTATGGCAGTAAGTTGTGACATCTGTATTACTACCTCTTCCTAAAAACTAAAGCCTTTGGTGTATGCATAGCACAGGAACATTAGCAGCTGAAAGCCTAACATTCAGCAGGAACTAGGAGGAACAGGAGCCAAGTCAAAACACTTAGGCAGGAAAACAGTGCTTCCTATTTAAGGAAGATACAAGCAGAGAAACAAAGTGGAAGAGAAGCCCAAGGAAAAAAGTGAAGGAGAGGCATTCTTATATACAAAGAAAAGCTACACACACTGTTCTCAAAAACCCAACCCAGCAATGGCTCATCATTTATTCCTCCAAGGTCATGTTAAGAATTAAAAGAAGTTCAACTCCCTTTAAGGGAACAGTCAACTACAAGATACAGATTAATTAAAACCCAAGTTGTACTTGGGTTTAAACTACTAAATACCTGTAATCACTGCCTTCACTATGTATGTCTTGCATTACCAACGTTTGCAGCAGCTCACCTGCAAGAGACTTCCACTGTGAAGATCGGTAACCCAAGGGAAGCAGCAGGCATTTCTTCTGCTTACCAGAACCATGAAGTCTAAATACTGAGAACTAAGCAGCATCTCCCCTTGTAGGGATATGTCTGACAGTCTGAAGCAGTTTACAACTAGAGTAGCTAATAGCTTCAGCTCGCTGTAGGTGTTCAAATATACGCAAGCTGCGTTCACCTGACATGCTCTATTGCACCATAGAACTTCAACAGCAAGTTTACCTTTTGCACCTTACCTGTATGCAATACCTTCATCCTCTTTAAGTACCCCATATTGTTTGGCAATGGAACGGTTTGTGTCTGAAATCAATGGGATTTTCATAGTACCCAAACCTCCCTGTTTCTTTGGAGTGTTGATCCTAAAAAAAAGGCAGTTCAAATGTTATAAACAGTTCATTCTAAACTGTCCATGTAAGGTATAACAGAAGCTGATCCCTTCCACAATATCGTACTTGGCTTGCCACGAGGCAACAGATAACCCGTATCCTCAGATCTGTTCAGAAGCACTTGGTGCTACCAATACTTCAAGTGCCTTTGATACTTCAGTAAGCAAGTTTCAATACACTCAGGATTCAGTTCCTGCAAGAACCGAGACCAGACAGAACATCCTGTTAGGTTAAGAGGCCAATTCTTACCAGGCAAGGTGACAAAAGTGAGAGTCAACAGAAGCTCCAATTACTTCACAGTTAATTTTCTTGAATTCATCGGCTCTGTCACTGTATGCAATAATTTCAGTTGGACAGACAAAAGTGAAGTCCAGGGGATAGAAGAAGAACACAACATATTTTCCTGGAAGAGCAGTACAGCCAGTTAATCTCTCCTACCTTTACAAGGGATGTCATACTCAATATCAACCATTCAAATACCGGTAGAAGAGAAAGGGCTTGATACAACTTTAAAGATCAAATGGAAAACTACAGATGCCTCTATTTTAAGAGTTGCTATATAGGTGGCAAGCCCATAAAGCACCTTGGGGGATTTGTAATTCAGACAAATACCATTTACGACAGTATTCAAGGCCACTCTACAGCTAATAAAGAGCCCAACTCAGTCTCCAAAACTAGACTGTTATATTTGACCAGGAATGCCTATCTCCTGGGTCTACTCCCATGGGCCTTCCCAGAGTACACACACTAGAAGACCCTGTGATTGACTAACAGGAGTGCAGCAATACCACAGGTCTGAAAGGCTACAAGACAAGGAGACATTTTAATTGAGTGGGTGACCAGCCTATACCTACTCACCACCCTCACACAATCCAAGCCACAGCATCTTTAGAAATCTCTTTCTAAAGCCATCCACATTAGTATTCAAATACTTCAGGCTTTCCCTTTGATTTTAGTAAGTTTTTTTGGCAAGGCAAACATTTTACTAGTACTCTAGAAAGGAACTTCACTAGTTAGAGGAATGAAACCACTTTCCCATTGACAGTCTACAAGAGATTTTGCTGGTTCCACATGGTTTGAAGATGTTACACCAGTCTCACAGTATGACAGGACAAACACATCTGATCCAAGAATACAGTTTAGAGGCATCTTATGCTAATTACCCACAACTCCCACAGCTGGGACATTCAGCCATGCTGCTGACAGCTTCCCAAGCACAGTCCAGCTATGCCTGAGAACCACTACACAAGTGGTGTATTTCAGTCCACTGACAACTGGTCACTATTACTTCAAAACCAAACTGAGATGTATCCACCATTACATATAGCTAGATTAGAGAAGCACAGAAGCTTACCTCTATAGTCAGAAAGTTTGACATCTTTGAACTGTCCATCTGGCATCACAGCTGTGGCAGTAAAGTCAGGGGCTGGTTTTCCAATGAAAGCGTTTCCCGAAGACATCTTGATTTAATCTACATAGGGGTTAATGACAATACAGTTTAGATAATAGTAGGTTTACACCTGGAAGTAAGCATTTATTCAAAGTATCCTATCAATCTAGACTGAACCCTGAAGACAGTTTTCCAGCATTTGGTCTTGCAACACAAGGCTTAAGAGTGAAATTAGTTCTGTCACCTGGATAGTCCAGTCAACGCACTAACTTCTCCCCTCACTCTACATATCCAGATAAACCTGCTATAAACACTACTAGCACTTCACAATCTGTGGTTCATTCACCTTCTAATGATACAGTAATAGTGATCTTTGACCAGGAACAGCTCAAGAGTCTGGGACAGGGCTAGCTCAGAATTTCAGTAGTACTCTGTAAATCTTTCCACCCTCCCATTCCACTCTGGTGGATGAGCTAAAGTCTAGTTGTACTTTCGGTTTGGTTTTTGGCGGGTTGGTTTTGTTTTTTTTTTGTTTTTTTTTAAAGACTTTTTGATGAGGAGACCCTTGTTCAATTTTACAAGGGAATTTAAGTCCTCAAACTTTATCCTCCCGTTGATTCCAGAACAAAAGAACTTTTGTTAATCCCCAGAGACCAGTGCTCTGCATAACTCCAGCCTTTCAAACAATTAAACCTTGTTTTATTTGTGACAAGACTCATTGTATACATGGCAATCATATCCTATGTTAGCAATTAAAATTTCACCAAGTCTTAAACCAGTACAGCCAGGTTGTCGTCCGCCCCCCCCCAAGTCTACTGAAAAAAGTAAGAGGGCACACAAGGACAAGAGAACTTTACTTCTGGCTGCCTGCCCTAAAAGCCAGTCATTTGCAATACGCCCTGTACAGTATTTTTGCTCTGTCTGGGAATGCAGTGGATCACTTTAGAATTCCAGTTACTTCCATAGCATAAGATTATCTATTTGACTGATTATGAACCTGGTTTCTTCAACTCGGAGTCTTAAGTGATTTCACTTAAGTCATTCCCTACACTGCTACAAGCACTAGCTGCCTTGACAATAGGAAAAAAAAAAACCTCTGAAGGTTAGCATGAGTCTCATGTTACTAATGAAAGCTGAGATTCAATGATTTTTCCAAGTCCTGCCTGCAAGGCACCAAGTCCATTATAAAAAGGGTTGAGAACACCTACCCCATTTCTTGGCTCTTTCTCCCTTGCCAGCCACTTTCTTCCTGAAAAACTAGCCTGTAAGTCATAAGCATTTAGCTTTCAATCCAAGTTTAGTATTTTTAGTAACGGTTTTACATTTGAAAGGGTATCTTCAATACCCTGACAGTATACAGACAGTAATCAACTACCTCTCAATTTTCATCTTGAGGAGTGTCAATACATTCAGCATTTCTAGCTGCTTTTTGCAATAAAATTCTTTATCCATGTGTTAACACAAGGGTTCAGTCTTCAACTGCAGCAGGCTGGGAGTGCGACTTACAAATGAAGGTGGCCAGAACTATCAAGTGCTCACACAATTGTACAGGAGCAGCCTAGCAGGAAGGCATTAATAATCCCTCTGCCAAGCATCACATGTGACAGGTGTTGCAGGTGGAATTCTGAAACTGCAGCTCTGTAGTAGGTACAGGAGGACAGCCACTGCACAGTATTTACTTGAGATGCTTAAAAGTAGCAAGTTTTATCTCAAAAGCAAGAGCTGCTCTTGTCTGGAGTGCAGGACCTCACATTTATTTTATCACTGAATCACATTCTTCTCCATTACTCAAACTCAAGGTCATCCATCTGCTCAGTACTATGACAGTCCTATATTTGTTCCACCAGCAATCCCTTGGAGTATTTACTATGCATTCAATGTCAAAAGCTGTCAGACTGCTCTTTGATACTTCCCCTTTCTAAGCTGCAAGTTACTGCCCTCTTTTTAGTTTACATGAGTATTTTTAATACTGGCAGGAGATTTCAGTTGTCTTGTACTGCAGGAGAATCATCTGCTTTCCTCAGAGCACTGACTGACTGGCCAACATTTCTGGTTTTCTGTGTGGGGTGAGCATGTGTTTTCACATGCTCTGATTGGATTTTTAACCACAGCATTTCCTAATCCACAGAGGAACAGACCAGACTCAATGTTATTTCATAGAGCCATAGAATTGCTTAGTTTGGAAGCAACCTTCAAGATTGAGTCCAACTGTTAACCTGGCACGGCCAAGTCCACCGCCAAAATACACCCCCAAGTGCCACATCTACATGTCTTTCTAAATACCTCCAGGAATGGCAACTCAGCCACCTCCCTGGGCAGCCTGCTCCAATGCTTGACAACGCTTTCAGTGAAGAAGTTTTTCCTAATATCCAATCTAAACTTCCCTTTGCACACCTTAAGGCCACTTCCTCTTGTCCCACTGCTTGTTACTTAAGAGAAGAGACCAACCTCCTGTGAGGTAACTGTAGAGACAGGTCTCCCCTGAGTATCCTTTTTCTCCAGACCAAACCGCCCCGCTTCCCTCAGCCACTCCTTCACTAACTTCATTGCGCTTCCCTGGGCCTGCTCCAGCACCTCAATACCTCTTGCAGTGAAGGGCCCAGAACTGAACACAGTATCCGAGGTGCACCCTTCACCAGCACCCAGTACAAGAGGACGATCACTTCCGTGACCCTGTTGATAAAAGCCAGGATACTCCTGGCCTTTCTGGCCACCTAGGCATGCGGCTGGCTCATATTCAGCTGGCCGTCAACCAGCACCCCCAGGTCCTTTCCCCCCAGGCAGCTTTCCACCTACTCTTCCCAAGCCTGTAGCACTGCACAGGGCTGCTGTGACCCCAGTGCATGACCTGGCACTAAGTCGAACCGATCGCTCTTCTTTCTAGACAGAAGGGTGGACACTGCCAATCAAGTACACTTGAATCAGGTCAGAACATCTTTGTTGCTCACAGCCACACACGGCCTCAATTATCTTCAACTTGCAATTATAATAAGCCAGGCCTGCACTCTTAGCCAGCAATTCATACCTTTAGGACATCCTGAACAAACGCGAAAGGCCATTTCAAAACACACCACCCACCTTCCGCTTTGCTACCTTCAGACTGCCACCAAAATGCGGTTAAACTACCGGGCTGCGGTCACAGAAAAGCGATATCGCCACAGACCTCCTGGGTTCCAGCACGCCGCAGCCAGCTACACCCAGACCACGGAACGCGCTTCGCTGAAAAACCCTCTTACGCCAATTCTAAGTATTTACCTGCGCAGAAGGCCACTACATCGCCCTGCTACACGGAACACCTGCCACCGTGTATGCTCTACCAAGCCGAATCCAGCATTAGTTTGAGGGGTTTTAAGGATTTAGAAGCGAGAGGCCGAGCCACGGCTTCCAGCGCAGCGGGACGCAGAGAAAGCTTCGCTCCCAGCCTCCCCCTGCGGCACAATAGCAGAGCCGATAAAGGCAGGGTGCAGGGAAGTTCTCTGCGGTCGTGTGTCGTCGTGCTCCCGCAGAAAAGAAGGGGAAAACCGCACAAGGAAAGAAAGCGGCGCTCCTTAGGGGGCGCGATACGGAGCGAGAGCTCGCCCTTGAACGCTGCGCTCAAAAGCCCATCCGCGCAGAGGGGGAGGGGAAACAAACCCAAATAAACGCAAAAAAAACCAACCCAAACCAACCAAAAAAAAAAACGGAAAACACAGACTGCTCAAAACCCTGAACCAACACCACCCTGCAGCACGCACGCGGCCCGCTCCCCCGGACTTACACAAAGCGCCTCCTCGCAGCGCGCACCCTCACTACAGCACCCGGCCGACTCAAACTGCGGCAGCTCCCCCCGCACCGCCCGCTTTATAGCCGCCCCGATCTCGCGAGGAGAGCCTCTCCCAGCCCGCCTCGGGCTGCCTGCAAGGGCAGCATGACTCGGCAGGTTTGTGCTGGTTCCCCGACGGGGATAAGGTGCCCCTTATCTGAACGGAGACACTGCGGCGGGCTGCTGGAAAGCAGCAAAGGAATTCGAATAAAGGGAGATAATGCGGTGGATGGGGTCCTGGGAGGTGCCGTGGAAATGGGCAATGTAATGGTTGTAAACAAATAACGGGAAGATGATTCAGGCGGCTTATTGCAAGAAGAAACTGCTTTATTAATGTCTTAATAGGTCCAAGCTATACATATGAAAAGTCATCAAAGAGGCGAAGGGTGGGCAGAATTTTGAGGGAGAGTAAGAGATGGCTGGCACATCATTGGGACGGACTGGACCTGGTGGTGATTTCCGTAAAGCCAGACTTCCTCTTACAGAGCAGTAGGCGTTCCCAGTGTTAACGCAGGTCAAATCTTTTATCCTCTCATTCTGCATTACCAACTTCCTCCTCAACCTGAAACTGATTCCCAAGCTTTCACTGATCTCCTTCAATGGGAAGACTGATCCAAGTCGTGCAAGTCAGCAAAAAGCTTAAAACTAAAATAAGAAATCAAAGTCTAACCTCTGAGCTTTGAGGAGTAGGATGGAAACTCTTAGACACAGCTACAGTTACTCACTTCAGGGAGTTTTGCATCATTCACAGAGTGAAAGCAATTCTGAGGAACACTTAGCATCTGTGAATCCTTACAAACATTGCGTTTGGAACCAAGACTGAACTGAAGTAGTGTGGTGCTTTTTTGAGGACCAAACCCTGAATTTAAATATAAAAGCTTTATTAGACAATGAATACTAAAGGCCATTAAGGACATATCCATGACAAGCTGCTTGCTTTAGTCAAAAGTGATAAGGTGTTTATCAGCTGATTTTTACTCATCTATTTTGCAGTTTACAGCTGTGTTTCTTCTACCTGTTAAAAACTTGATTATAAATTGTAATGTGGAGAAAACCATAAAGGATTAACAAACTTTAAATGTTTGTAATCTGCATCACTGTGTAGTGTTGCTGGGTGATCATACCCATATGGTGATTCACCCTAGAGACAACTGGTTTCAGTTCCAGGTGAAATTAGTCCTTAAATAATAAAAGCAAGTAACATGCATACATGTACTTAAGAAAAAAAATCTGCATTCCCCTTAATGCAAATAATTTATCTGCTACTGTTTCTGTTGCTATAGCATACTTAGTCTTTTACAAAAAGAAATGTTACTTTCTTAACATCAATGCTGTGATGGCAATCAACATCTATAAATTGAGACATGTATATACCTACCTATTAACCCAGGCATGTAAATGAACCTATCAACCCCTGTTGACCCGAAAGGTCAAGCAGTCCTAATTAAAACCACTAGAACAATGTAGTCTTACTGCATCTCTGGCAAGTTTACCAATGGACAAAGCAGTAATGACTTTCTCATGGCTTCAGACTCCCTTAATGCTTGTGCTCATTTCTCATACTTTCAGATGCATAATACACCCATTTCACATAGCTGCCACAATGCAGTTTGTTCCAGGTTTGCACCTTAAGCATTACATTTCCATTCATATGTCCATGGCCTCATTATTTTTTATTAGTTTCTGAGCTAGTCTTTCCAACATCAGTTTCTGTAGGTTTTGGAGCGGTAACTTGCCACAGCCACTCCTTGTTCATGAGCAGATGGGTTTCTGTAGCCTCTTTCAATCTTTAGATGCAAGATACTACCTAGATTGAAAAAAAAAAAACAAAACCAAAACCAGACTTCTCCAAGAGAAACACAGCATGTCTGCCCAAGCAGGTGATGGAATGACAAGAGTTTCCCATACTTTGCTTCTCTACACTCTGTTCTTCACACAGTGGCTTAACCACGCTCTAGTATTCTGCTAAAACCGCTGCTAGACAGGATAAGCTCGTACCTGGTTAGTGTGGAGCATCAGGAGCCCAAGTGCAGGCCTCTTTGCATCCAAACAGATATGGCCACAGTAAGCGATTTATGTATTTACATGAGGAGCTGGTTGGCCCTGAAGTGTCAGAGCACTGAAACTACCTGAAGATTTCTAACTTGGTAACCATGCCAGGTTTTGCATGGATCATTTTGTATCTCCCATGTACATTGGGAATGGGTTCCTGATATGAAAAACAAAACCCCCTCGTGTAAAAACAAAGGCAAAGAAATAGGTCCTATATGAGAACACTACCACACATTTAGGTTTCCACACATTTTGTCAGAAGAGAATTTGGGGATCTTATGCAAGCGTATCCAGGACTTCTAGAGTAAGATGAACTTAGAACAGCAGTGTCATCTGGGTTTGGGCAACACTGGCACACCACTTGAGCATATCCATGTTAGTGCAACAGTGGAGATGATCCATGCATGCCCTCTAAAGCAGCACTTTAGGACATCATCACACATGTTCTGTAGAGCTCATCACTGCATGTGCAGAACGTCCGCTGAATCCAGAACATGCTGAGCCTCCTGTATACATATCAGGGGTACAGGAAGTGTAAAAGCCTGGCCACATGGGACATTATAATATAATATATGCAAAAAGTCACCTGAAAACTCAAAGCTCACATGTTCCCAAGCCGTGGGGCATTTATGCACAAGCAGCTGGTGCACAATAGTTTTAATCAAAACAATTACATATTATTAAATATACAATGCATGTGTTGGCTTTCCTTGTTTTGCTCAAGTGAAGACTGTTTCTAGGTCAAAATGTTTTGCATTACCTCTTCCTGCTCTGCATATCCTTTTTTTTAATTTAAATTAACAAACTTTGTTACTGTATGTTTGAATAATCACTGTCTTTTGATGGCAAAAGGTTACAGTCTTTCTTACCTTTTCTCTCGTACTCCCTATTACATTATTGAAGGCTGAGGTTTATTAGTTTCCACGTGATCGTCATATAATTCAAGCATCTTCTGTTGTATTAAGACTATGGATTTTCAAATAGATTTATGACTGACAGGATCGCCATAAAGATAAATCAAATCCAGCAGCGGTTCCTCCCCCTTTCTTCTTTCCTCTTCTCAATTTTCTATTTCCTGTTATTTTTCTTTGTCATCTTGTCCTTGCACTCTGCTTCCACTTTCCTGTATTTGCTCAAAACAGGCTGTGCAACAGAAAAAGCTGGTCACGTGCATGCCCAAGGGATTCATTAACCTTTGTGCCTTTAAGCCTCCTGAGCAGGTTGAGTCAGAACAGCAAAAAATCTGCAGCAGAATTACCTTTCTGGAAATAAGTAACAGCCTCTTCAAAGCCCTGTTGGGTATTTTTATTGCCTTATTTCTCATCTAATCGTACTGTTTTCAAATTTTGAATGTTTGTAAGTTATTTACAAAAATGGTAGCCTGGAGTAAAAGTCAAAACTGTTTGGTTTGGGTTGTTTTGTGGTTTTTTTTGTTACATTTAATATTGGGTGTGCAGTCTTCTCTCAGTTGCAGGCCACAGTCCGCTCCAGTTGCAGGCTGCATCTGTGACTACAGTAGTAAGGTTGTACATACCCGTAAGCAAAACTATGCTGAAATCAGTTGGCTTTAATCTTCCTTTCAGTCTCGCTGGGATGAGGACATGCACTCCTGAGCACCTGCAGCAGAAGGAACCTCAGGCTTTTCAGAAAGTGCCACTTTCTTTTTCCGCACTTTTCAGCACAGAAGCTGAAGCAAAACCAGTGTGACCGGCCTTGCACTTCAGCTGCATTCTTGTTATTTAGGGCTGCGAATAAGAGTGGGGAAATTCTGTTTTTCACCAGTTAAAACCAGCTTTGAGAGGCCAAGACAAGGAGACTTGTACGTGAATTCATGCACTCGACCTTTATCCGTTAAGTCTGTATTTGTACTTCCTTCCATGTGGTGGGCGGATAAACCCATCTGATTTATCGCACTCGGCTGTGACTGGGGGCTGTCTGAAGTTCCCGATGGGAACCGCACCGCGAGGAGAAGAAAGATGAACAGAGCAAACCCGATGGAAGACCCGGGAGCAGGCCGTGCCGGGGGGGTGCACACAGGGACCTGCAAACCCCTCGCCACAGGACGGGCGGCAAAGAGGCCGGCCCTTCCCGTCCCCACGTTGCTGGGTTATTTTCTTCCCTCCGGGCAGGGATGACCCCACAGGGCCGCTCCGCTCCGCTGGCACCTCCCGGCCGGAAGCGGAAGCGCAAGCTCGGGGCCAGGCGGCAGCGGTATAAGCGGTCGGCGGCGCGGTAAGGGGCTGGGTGATGCTCGGCGGCGGGTGGTGAGTGCCGTAGTGGCGGGGCGCTGGCGGGGTCTTATCGCCCCCCTGATGTGAGGCTGGGCCGCCACGATAAGGGGGTGGTGGGCGCGCTGCCCCAGCGAGGAGCGTTTGGCGCCTCTGGGGTTAGCTCCTGTTTGGGGGGGAAGAGCGATTCGGTAGCAGGGAGTTCCGTATTTCCAGTGTATAGCTATTTACATATTTATGTATGTTAATTGAATACATATTTATATGCTTGTAACTGTTGGAAGTCTTCTTAAGTTTAAAGGATTAAACTGGATTAAAAGTGAGTTGTAACTATGGGTTGATGCGCAGGTGTACTTTACACTTCTGTAGTTGTTAGTGTATCCTCCTAGCTGGACTGCTTATGCTGCCTTTGAATTATTCTGAGCTTCAACTCTTTGATGTAAATATGGCAATCGATGGGTATTGTAAAGCCAAAACCACATCTTACTTGTCTGGAATTGGTTTGCTCTATGTTTGCTTTTGTCTTTGCCTTTCTACAAAGAGACTTCCTGCTTTTTAATGAGCCACATAATGATGGCTAGCAGATATTGTGGTTCTCTTGCATCTCCTTGTTGGGGGAAGAATCTGAGTGGAAAGTATTAATTCGTGTATTGTCTTCCACTGTCTCTGATTCTGGCATGTTTCCATTCTTCCAGGGGCTGTAGTTCTCTCTCTGCAATGTTAATATATGACAGTGTTAAATGAAGCAGGATGGGTCTTGGAAAATGTGCTAATGCTAGTTATTGATTAAACGTGTACCTTGTCTTCTGGGGCAAACTGTTGCATTTAAGATGATTGTGTAACATGGTTGTGTGAAGCATATGGTTCTGCCTTATCTGTGTTATAGGCCAGTGTGAATCAAAAAGTCTTAAGTCTACAGTTGTATTGCATGATATATGCAGGTACCTGTAAACAATTAAATTCAGGTAAAAAGCACCTGTTTGCTGGCTACAAAATGGCTATGAAATTCAATAGAAGGGAATGCTGTTGGCGTTGTCATTTTACTTTCATGGACTTGAAAAATATCCCAGAAATTAGATGTGCACTCAAAGTTTGTTTCATCAGGTGCTGATTGTCTTCAGCACCCATATCTGGACTTAATACATCTCAGTGCAAATCCAGAGCCGTTATTTTTGTCTTTAACTGCTGTTTTGCACCAGGAGGTGCTGGTCCATTGCAATTCTGATAAGAAAGTCACTCAGACTCTCTGAAGCATCATATCAAATGCTCTTCGTTGAGCTAACCCTGTAAAGAAAGAGGATAGAGTTGATAATCTTGCATCCCTTCAGGAGCTGGGAGCTCCAAGTTATGCAGTATTGAACAGGTCTCCTCTGATTCACGCACAATGTGCTCTACAGGCCCTGTCTGTAGAAGGGGTTACCCTGTTTTGGTCACTTGAGCTATTAGGGATCCTCTTGCAGGAAAACAACTCTGTTCATCATTTCTTCTGTCAAACAAATGATGCTTGCATGAGAATGTCCTGCCTTTTTAGATGAAGGTAAGGACATGTAGGTGGTGTAATCACAGGTACCAAGCTGCCTGCAGACTCATCTGTTACAGCTGCTGAGCATACCCCAGAATGCAGGCTTGAAGGCCAGGCTGTACATGAATCACAGCACAAGGGAAGCCTAGACCTGCTTGGGTTAACTGTTACCTGGATCACCAGCTCCTTGGTGTACAATGGCCTTCAGGTCAGGATCACTCCAACTACTTTGTTAGGTGTCTCTGTAAACCAAGTGTGGTGTTTGATGTCTGCTGTAAATCTACAGAATGTGGCTTGAGAAGCTAAGCAAGAAATTGAAAATATAAACCTTATGTGTGAACACATCCATCGGCTGATGAAGATTTTAACAACATGGAGAAGGCAGAGCCATTTTGGGATGGTATGCTGTGTGAATGCTCTGCTTTGAAAATACTCATTCTTCCTACATAGTCAGCTATTCAGCCAACATTGCATGCTTCCACTCCTGCGTTGTTTGGTTGGTTTGGTTTTGTTGTTGTTTTTAAACAAATAGCATGATGAGTTTGCACACAGCTGAACTTGGGAAGTAACTTCCTCAATTTCTGCTGAAATCAGCTAGCCACCAGTGGAGCTCATCCTGAATGTGGTTTCATTTTAGCAGTTTGACTAGAAACATAGATTGTGTGGATGTTGGGACACACTGTGAAAGCTTCCTTTTTTGATAAAAAAGCTTTGACACTCGTAGTCGATTGCTGCTTGTGGTAGCTATAAGGCCAGCAACAGGGAGTGGAATATCCTGTTGGACTCCTGTTCTGTTGAATTTCACAGGGAAGATGCTTCAATATCACAGTTCGAAGCATGAGAGAGAAGTCTAGGCTCAAGGGCTCCTTTTCTAGTCTCTCCAAGGTAACTGTTAGTCTCCTTTATACTGGTAAAAACTGTAAAGAACCTACTTCATCTTTATTCTGTCATCTATTTTTTATATCGGATCTCTATTTTTTTACATAGAAAAGGTAAACTGTTGCAATTTACTGAATTTGTTCTTCTTCAGGCAAAAATGTCTGCAGCATGCGACTTCGTTGCATTCCACACTGGGCAGAAGATGCCTCTCATAGGACTGGGAACTTGGAAAAGTGAGCGTGGCCAAGTAAGCAAAGAACAATGTGATATTGTGCTCTCAACTAGTATTTGTGGCTTGTGCACCTTCTTTGAAGATCCTAGATTTGCTGCCTGGATCCTTTGCTTGAATTGTTTTAATCTTAGGCACACTGAAGTCAATGGGATGTATGCATTTGCATGACTTAAGGCACAAAAGCAGCAGCAGCAGATCCTTTAAGAATTGTTAATGCAGGCCTCAGGCAGTGCTGCTTTGGGAGATGAATCCAGAAAGACACCAATGAGTGGGGTGAGGCAGGAACAGTGCTGTAGCTACAATATGTAGCTCTAATATGGACTTCCACTGGCAAATCCTCAGGCTGCCAGTTTGACCAGACATTCCTCTGGCTTGGGCTGATGACTGAGCTGAAAGCATTATTTTGGGAGGCAAGAACTCCAGTTGGTTTTGTAATAAGTCCTGCTCCAGTGGTCAGCCTGTGTTTAACAGAAAAACAGAATTTGCTTGGGTCATCCTGCTTTTAGACTAAGATGACTAATGTGTCGTTTGACATTCATTCTGCTTCTAATGCAATGAATTGGCAAACACCGTGCTGGGAAACAGCTCTGTGTGTTACTACAAACTGTCTGTGGGAATGCTTGCTTGCTATGGACTGTACCTCCTGTTGTAATTCTTCTCCTTGTCTGTCTTTTCCTCTTTGTTTCATTTAGTTAAAAGATAAATTCCTGGGGGAAGAAATTGCACACACTTGCTGTGAAAGGCAACGTCCTTTGCTTGGTGGAATTCTTAGATAGTATTGTCTATAATGCCTTCTGGATTATGTGTACCTTTGCATGTCTGCACAGTAAATGCTGCATAGTTTTGCATTAACTCCATGATGTTTTTTTGAGTAGATTGGATGACATTGTCTTTGTGACTGAGAGGGAAATTTAAAAGGCTTCTCAAGATGGTGAGCTATTCTCTCATACCAGCTGGAGGAAAATATGGGGAAATAAGCTGTAAAAATCAAATCTTTTCAGAGCCATTTTATTGTTGGTCTCCCTGTCCAAACAAGCGGACAGTGAATGTATTGGGAACAGAAGCCCTGCTAATGTGGAAACTAAGTTGGTGTGAGAGCTCAGTCAACCTCTTAAATGAGGACGAGAGCTAAACAATGAGTGTTCAGCTCTGTCACTTAAAACATCTGCTGACAGCCAAATTAAGTTTATTGATGTGCAGCAACTGAAAAGATGAATTTCTGTGCACTCAAGGCAGTTAAATGTGTGTCGTCTAAAAACAACGCCTGAAACAAAACAGACAAAATCTGAATGCATTGTTTATTTTGTGCACTAACTGTTCTGAGGAAAGTGCGGCCTTATAAAAGAACCAGGGAAAATCCTGCTCGTGCATAATCTAAACTGAATCCAGATGGATTTTGCTATAGTAAGCAGTGCTTCAGCAGCTGAAACCAGCCATCTTCTCTGGAGTCCCAAGGAAGCCATTGGGAATCGCTTCTTTGGAACATCTATCTTCAAAGACATTCCTAGAATGTATTGAAGGCAAAATCTGGAAACCACAGTGAAAATGGAATTTCAGGAGCTGCTGCTGTTCCTCTGGAATAAATAAATTCCTGTTCATAACTCTTGAAAACTGGGAAGCATATGATTCACCCTTAAAAGAACATGATGTAGTTCAGGGAGAATAGTTGTAATTACAAATTTAAGACTAGGCCAAAACCGTAGAGAAGCAGAACGCTTATTGACTGTATTTAATCTGTTTCCCAAGTAGAGGCTATTTATGAAAAGCTTTTTGTGCAAGGGCTGCATTAGAAGCAAGAGTGGAAATGGATGGCCTTTAAATTATTTCAGGTAAATATTTTGCAGATTGTAATTGTTTTCCTTGTCAAGCTGCTTTTCAGTCTTGACTTTACTCTCTTGAGTAATCTCTTTATTATGGCTGTTACTATTCCTGATACTAAACAAGCTTTGACCTTGTAGCTAGACCTTAGAAGTCCAGTACAAAGGTGTCATTGCAGCCCTAGCTTTCTAGATAATAAGAATATGGAGAGTAAATTATTGAATCTATGTTGGAAGACTGTAGGATAATAGGATGTTTTCTGTGTTACATGAGCAAATGCTGGAAGAGAAATTTGTTTGTGTTACCATAGGGACACGATGAAGGGCTATTGAATGGGAAGGGAACACAATACAGAAGCTTGTGAACTGGCAGCATGAGTGAGTTGAAAGAGAAGTCCATTCAGACAGGAACATCAAGAATATCAGTTGCATGTTTTGTTTTAATATTAGGGCTTGATTATCTGTAATCCTTTAATGCTTTGTTCTGTTCTCTCAAGTGGGCCATGCTTTCAATCTGGAAGATTGATCCCCACCTGATGAACAGCCTAACCTGCTGTGGCAGGGACTGGTTCTGTGGGGGAAAGGGATGCTGGGCTTTGAGAAGTTGTATTTCTGTGTGAAACGTCCGGAAAGCTGGAGAGGAAATGTGTGGCTCAGCAAACCAGTCAGACTGGGTATCTTGTGATGGGATTGCAACTATGGAGGAGGCTGTTTAGTTCTTGGAAGTTTGTTAGAGAATTCTAGTTACATGCACAAAAATTCACTGCTGCTGGTCAGTATTGAGAGGGACTTAAATTCATTATATAAAGCATTGGAGGCAAATGTATTTTATGGAACATCAGCTCTGAAGTTGGCATTACTTACGTGGTGCTCTGAGTTCTTTTTCAGCAAATTTTAGTGTGGTATGGACAAACTGTGATTTAGCAACACTTACTGGTCATTGCATCTGAATATGATGTGAACCCATGATCTATTGCTTTTTTCCTGTTTCCTGTCAGCAGATGGGACTGCTAAATTGTGGCAACTTTTCAGAAGTGTGGGAGACTCAGCCTGTTCTTTCCAAGTATTAATGACTGGGACTGTGAGAGGGAAGGCCTCTTTGTAATGGGTTGAGGCAATGCAGAAGAGGCTTCCTAGTCACGTAAACTCTATGCTCCTTGGAAGCATAAAGTTGGCTTGTTAGTTTTTCACCTTGTGATGGGCACATTGAAGAACTGGAAATCTAGGCATGGATAGTATACTAGAGTATACTCAGTTTCTGAATCTGCCACTGATTGTTAGCAATACTGTGTTCCTCCATCCTCAGAGCGAAAAGAGAGTGGGTAGAAAGGCCAAATCCCTTGCCTCTATAAATGGGAGTGTAGTTCCTAGGGCTTTACTATACTATGAAGGAGAGTAAGACTTCAGCTACAACAGTGTGTCTGTTTTGGGGCAAACCACTTAAAGAAAAGCATGAACCAACTGATGAGACAGCAGCAGCAATGATGCAAGGTTTGAGAGAGGTGAATTGTGATGAGAGATGGAAGCACCTGCAGTTACACGGTGCAGAGGGGTTTGAGAGATGCATGTTGGCCCTTTCAAAAGGCACAAAAAACCCTCACAAAGGGGAAGCTGTGGATTTCATATCTGTAAGGAATACCATGTGGTTCTTGGTTAGACACCCGAAACGCTTTGAACATAAAGATCATAGAATCATAGAATAGTTAGGGTTGGAAAGGACCTTAAGATCATCCAGTTCCAACTCCCCTGCCATGGGCAGGGACACCTCCCACTAAACCATGCCACCCAAGGCTCTGTCCAACCTGGCCTTGAAAAAAGATACCTAAGCATTAGAATAGACTGCCTGTCACTTACAAGAAGGGTTGTGACAAATGTGTGTAGGAGTGATTTAGACTTAGTTGGCCCCGCTGTGGGGCATGAGGATAGACTTAGTGATGTCTCAAGATCCTTTCAGACCTACTTTCTGTAGCTCTGTGATGCTACATTGGTGAGTCACACTTAAGCTGTGTGACTCGACTTGCCTACTGGAAAATGAACTTGGTGATTGTTCCTTCCATAGCAGTTTTGACAGGCTAAACTAAAGAATAAGTTCAAGGGATTCTTTGGCTGTTGTTACTTCACAAGACAGATATCCAGAGCATGTGAATCTCTAACTGCTTCTGTTGTCTTTAGCTTTTTTTTTCCCCTCTGTGTCCCAGGAAATGCATGTCCCTGACTGAACATAATCTCAAAATTACAGAACTTTCTGTTAAAGTTCTTAAATTTACATCTATCTGTTATTCCCACCCCCCAAGAAATGCCTTTTTTGCATGCTTTCTCTTGATTGTTTGCCTTTTGTGTGGAGGTCTTGGTTCACATTGGAATGTCTTAGCAGGCTGAAAGTAGTTCAGTGCAGATTTATACAGTATTAATACAGTAGCAAATACAGATTTAGTCCAAATCCAAACCTTATTTAAATAACCAGTCCCAGTTTTCAGTGCTGGAAATTTATCAAAACATGCTGATACAGAAATGCAGCCTCCTGCTTATTGCTTTGCAGAGATATGTTTGGAGTGCTTTATCCCTTGTTTCCTGCAAGTGGTTCTTACTTTAATTTTATGGCAAATTTTGTGCCTATTTGAATTAAGCCCCCTTATTATCCAGTAGAAGAAATGAGGGACTAATACAGGCAAAGGACAGTGCTGGTTTTCCTTTCTGCTTCAGCTCCACAGCTCTCAACTTTTTGAAGGGTAGATATCAAATCTTAAAAGCCTTTTAGTATGTCTCAAGTGATTTCAGCATTACCATGACGTTGATTGTGTAGAGCTTAGGAATGTCTTTGTCAAGGGCTGTAAATACCATCCTGCTGGAGAAAGGAAGAGTTTACTTCACTGCTGTAGTAGAAGTGCTTTGTGATCCTGACTAAGGGAAACTGGTCTGATTTTTTTTTTTTTTTCTTTTTTTTTTCCTCTCAAAATGCCAAAGAATGCAGTCAGAATATCCTGTGTCTGCCTTTACTGCCGTTCTTGACAAGAAAACAAATGAAATCCACCAGAGAAAGAGAGGTCTTTTTCCCATTAGATTCCCCCTTGTCTTTCTGTAGCATCTGAAAGCAGGACTGTACGTGTCTTTAATTGCTATTACTAGTTTTGTTAGCTTTAAAATTGAAAATGGTGCTACTTTGATTAAACTGAAAGAAATCAATCTCTCTCTAGCCTTTGTGAACATGTTTTTTTTTAATCTCTTGATGACAGAGATGTAATCTCTGTAAATATTTTGGGGCCCTATTGCATCAAGCTTTATACACTAATTTATAATCTCACAGTCTTGAGAGACAAGTCAGTGAAGAGCAATGTATAGGAATCCCTGTACAGGTAAGATGTACTCTTACTGCAGCACTTTGGATGGATAGATGTAAAAGAGCATGTGCTTACTTTCCACTGGAAGTCAAATGACATGACATTAAGATTTTACTTAATGCTCATCAGCCTAATGGAAGATGATGCCTGCGGTGGAATCTGTGGTAATTCTTGGTTCTTGTGCAGTTGGTTATTAGAAATCTTTATTCAGAAGCTGCTTGTAAGTCCTCAAAAAGATGACGTTCTGTGTTTTGTTCCTTGGTTTCTAGACCTGCTTCATATCTGAGGTCTGCATGTGAAGATCTTTTGTACTTGGGCTTCGTTAGAACTTTAAAAAGCAAAAAGATTGGCAGCATGGTGCCTTGGTTCCCAACCATTCTGGCTTATGTGTAATAATATGTAGCAAGGGAAGTGTTGCTGTTGGTAACACCTATGTCAACAATGTGGAAAGCAAACTGCAGAGTTGTCAGCATCATCAGGAGATTCCCTGCAGGCCATGAATTAATACACAACAGTATAATGACTTCCATTGTTGTGCAGTCAGTGCAAATGAGACCTGAAGAAAAAATGCACCATCAAATATCATTATCTTAGGAATTTAGGTGTGAGCAGTTGAACCAACCCTGAATTCTGGCAGTTCTGGAGTTAGAAACCAGGCTCTCCCTTTACTGGGAGAGAGGAGATATAATAGGAGATAATTAATAGATGAATCCTCATCTATTGGGTTAGGAAATTTTGTCTTCCCATGCCATCATTTATTTAAAAACTGCTTCTTAAAGCTCATTTTACATTTAAGAAAAATGAGAAGTATGATTAATAATTAATCCCTGCTCTATCTGGTGAGTTCTTGCATGCTTGGCTTGTGTGCATGGCCTGTATTCTTGTTGCTTTTGTCTGCTAGCAGTTAGCTCTTCACTCCTGTGCCACGGAGGACCATATCCTACTCTTTGAGTCTCATGACCTTATGTACTTTGGGGGTGTTCGTCACTAAGTCCCTAATTTTTGATTCCTTCCCCCCCAGTGATGTGTCCCTTTTCAGTGATCACATTGGGTTACCTGTTTTTGATTACAGGTGAAAGAAGCGGTGAAATATGCTCTAAGCGTTGGTTATCGCCACATCGATTGTGCAGCAGCTTACAGCAATGAAACAGAGATTGGTGAGGCTTTCCAGGAGTGCCTTGGGCCCAACAAGGTAAAAACACAAGAATCACCACACTGCTTGGGTATTGTATCAAAATTTACCACTGTGACCTGAAAGTAGACTGTAAAGTTAACATCTGTGGCTCTTCCTCCTGGTCTATCCCAGATGTATGTTACTAATCAGGAGCAGGCATGAAAGAGGGCTTTCTCTCCTCTTATACCCATCCTGGCTGTCAGGAGGAGGAAAGATTTTCAGGAATGTTTGCATGGAGCTAAAGAAAATGCCCTTTTTTTTTAAAATTCCCTCCCCACCCCTTTTCCCCCTTTCAAAGTATCCCAGTTTGGCTGTTCAGAAGTCAGAGGTACCAAGAATCAGTAGCTATAATGTAAAGTATTTGCAGTGATTTATATGAAAATTACTCTGTTTTGCTGCTCTGGGATAGCATGGTCAGTAGCCATAGCAAATTTGGTGACTGTGGGGCTTCTTGATTATGGACAAAATAAGTAAGTAAATATGTACTTTGTTTTAAAGAGTGATTGCATTTGAAGATTTGATAACTGTGGCTCTAGGGCCTGCACTTGAGAGTCTATGACCTAAATATATGGTAATGTGGCAGGCATTCCTATAGGTGACCTCGGGTGGAATCTTAAATTCATCCCCTTGCCCTCTTGTTAGCCCAGGGGGCCAGAAGGATTGCCTGTACAGCCTCAGAGCTCATGGAAGAAAAGTTCTTATGTTACTGCTTTCCTGCTGTTCTTGCCTTGGCTTTAGGGCAATCTCTTTGTTATGTGAGTAGCTTAAGAGAGGCTGCTTTTGGCTTGCTCCGGGGATTCCTTCCTACTAGATATGGTAACTTACACAGGGAAGCATAGGAGGCTCTTACTCAATTCATATTAGCTAGCTAATTTAAAACTAGAATTTGTAAAACATCTTTCTCTTTGAACACAACAGCCACATGTGAAACAGAAATAACAATGGTTGGAGGAGATAAACAGGGAATTAGTTATTCCATCTTCTGAAAACTATAGATTTGAGTGAAATTTGGTCACACAAGGCAGTGAGAAGTACCCTCTGATGCTGTGCTGTGCTTCAGCTTGCCAAACGTGATCTCCCTTTTGCATTTTATACTTCCTGGTTAAGCAGCTCCCTGTTTGTTTAATTTCTGTGTCTTACCCTTCCAATACAGGGTTCAGGGCACTCAGTTCTTAGTGTGTTTCTTCCAGAAACTAGAAACTTAAGTGCAGAGCTTTGGGGAAGCTCCTTTTCTTTATTTTCCCATGCCCTTCCCTTGAGAAGCATTCCTGGTTTATAACATGTGATGAGTCTAGTAAGTTAGCTGGTTGTGCCTGGAAAATTGAATTGTTAGATAGGAATTACAAAAGTCACATAGGAATAAACAGCATAATCTTTCCTTTGACCATTCAACACTTAATAGTGGCTTTTAGCCTTGAATTGGGAAGTGTGTGTGGAGAGGATTGTTTTGTATTTCAGAACTTGTGAACTATCTGGTACACTTTAGGTCTTGCCAGTGTGTGTTTCTCTTGCTTTTCTCTATCTAGTGTATTTTGAAAGGTTTAATTTGTGGGTTCCATGCGTTACCTTTTTTATTAAAACTTAAATTGTTCTCTTTGGTTTTAAAGGTAGTTGGGGAATTGCTGCAATTCTCTTCCTGAACTCGTTCCAGTAAATTATGCTCTCCTTCCTTTCTTAAAGGTTATTAAAAGGGAGGACCTGTTTGTAACATCAAAGCTCTGGAATACCAAGCACCACCCAGAAGACGTAGAGCCAGCATTAAGGAAAACACTTGAAGATTTGAAATTGAATTACTTGGACCTGTACCTCATGCATTGGCCTCATGCCTTTGAGTAAGTTCTGTGTGGAAAGGGCATGGATTGCAGAAGCCCCAGTTTTACATGAGTGGCTGGTGTTACATCCTCAGGACCTTCTCTGTGAGCTGTGAGTTTCTTCCTGAGTATGTGGCCTGCAAGATGGTTTTTTGTAGTGTGACTAAATAGTGTAGTTCCGTGGACTGTCGCATAGACACGACTTTCTACCTGTAACCTATGCACTGATTCATATGTGTTCACAGAAACAGTTTTCATTCTTTGAATTTTAGTCTGGTGGGAGTTTGTTTAGATTTGTAGATTTTAGATTTGTTTAGGTCAGATTTGTAGCTTGTCTGCAAGCATACATTACAGGAGACAAAACTTCTTGTTTTGTGCAGAAGTATTGTAAATAGAAAAGGGATGATTGTTCTTATTATTTAGCAATTATGAGTATTAAATCTTCATTTAAAATCTGGAAGCAATTACTTAATTTTTTTACTAGTGAGAACAGCTAGGTGATGAAATTAGGGTTGCTAAACTTCTTACAGTTTGGCATGAGTGATGACAAAGGTAGGTAACTGAAACTAGTCTAACTGGGAAAAAGTAATGAAGCTGTATGTGACAAGCGTCTGTACTGAAGGTTGCCATTTTATACTAGCTGAGAATTTGGTTTGTGAGGTGAAATCTGAGTTTAAAATATATTAGAAGCTTAAATAGCCTGGTGCCTTCATCCAGGCACTGGGGAAGTGTGGCAGCTCTTCTTGGTTCTGCCATTGACCTACAGGGTAACCCTGAGGAAAGAACAAAACTGCTTTGTGCCTTTCCTTTACTTATCTGTAAAATGAGAATTAAGCCTTTTGAAAGGCCACACTTTTCACTAATAGTTATTAACTGCACTGGAGTGGCCAAGCATGCAGTGTCATGGTGACATCTGTATGAGGAAATGAAAATTACTTCTTATAACATTTTAATTGCAGTAATTCTATGATTTGAGGAAATGAGAGACAAGGAAGTTTTCCAGTTAAGCGCTAAATGCACTTATCCTACAGCCCCATCAGAACCAGAGTTCCTTGCTTTATTTTCTTGCAGATGTGGAAGCCATTGTTGGTCCTCCCCACTTCCCTTACAATCAGTAAAATGGAAGGGGGAGGATAAATCTCCTGACCAGATGCTTGCATGGAGATAAGCCCCTGTCAGTTTAAGGGGCTTCTGTCTCTTCTGCAAATATAAGAATTTTTTGACTGCTTCTAGTGATATGAACTGAATTTTACAAAGCATACAACATTAATGATTAGAGGAAAGATGCTTGAAGTATAAATGTATTCCTCAGCCTAACAGAATGAGGAAGTGTGGCCAACTAGAGCTGGTTCAGAGGAAGAGCTGTTAAAAATTCCCCTGTTATGAAACAGGTTTGTTTCCCAGTTGATTGGAAAAAAAACCCCAACAAACCCCAGCATTAAACACTGCTTTGATAATGACAGGTAACACAAATATTGATGTATGTTTAGGTATTACTAATATTTAAATTAGCTTGATGCTGTGGAAACTGTTGACAAAACTGCCATTCTAATAAAGCAGTTTCATGTTTTCTCATTGGAAACTGTTCACTCTCCGGTTTTCTATTAGCTCTGCCTCAACTCTTGCAATGTGTGGTTACCTGTAATGCCTGCAGCTCTGGGAAGCTGAGCAAATGAATGTTATTTAATTAGAAATTAAAACAGGCTTCCATCTGGAAGTCACAGTGCCTCTAGGTCTTGAAACTTAATCCCTGACTGTGTACTACTGTTGACATGAGGCTGCTTTTCTGAGTTGGGAGCTCATAAGGCTTTCAGAGTTATTTTTGGTTCTAGATTTATCAATGATATGAAGAAGAACCATCTCCCCTTGTCCCCAGCTCTCATTCCTCACACCATGTCACTGCTTAGCTGAGCAGTGTAAAGCAGCCTCTTAGATCTGAGCTAGCAGAGTCCTGCACTGGGTATAAGAAGCATGCTGCCAGTGGAATTACATGTACCCCTCCGAGTGTGGACTGCTCAGAGGCCAGTCATAGCCCTTTGGCAGTGTGGTGGTGTCACTTGGCAGAAGCAGGTTCATTGTGTGGGGTTTGTGTTTTACTTTATCGTGTTTTTTGAATGGGTTGGTATGACTAACTGGGAACACACCCAGCCTATAAGCAACATGTATTTGTTAAGACTTCGGTGAGAATCTGTGCTTGTATCAAGTACTGTCACTGCTATAGAGTCCAGAGGGAGTGGGAAGGCCAGTGTGCTTTGAATACAGTCTCTTCTAGACAGCTCTTAAACCAAGATCACTTTTGTACCGGCTCCAAACAGACTATGAAGAATCAATCCTCTCAAGGTGAGAAACCAAAGCTACCCTCTGAGTTGGTGCTCTCTAAATCTAGCTGTTTTGCTAGGATCAAAGTGTGCAAAGAGCTGCTGCGTGTATATGGTGGCTTATCGGTTATCTGTGTAATCACTACTATATAGGTAAGTAGGTCAAAGTACTGCCTAACAAGTTGCCATAGGAAAGGCTGTATGTGAAATAATCTTTTATAGGTGAAGTTGCCATAATTCGTGCATTGAACAGACAAATATGCTTAGTATGTACTCCACCCTTTAAGCTATGTGCAAGCTTTTAAGAATACAGGAAGGTTTCTTTTAGTGAAGAACTATAATATAAATGTGGTGAATGTACTTACACTTTACCTTTGCTACTGTAGACGAGGGGACAATCTCTTCCCAAAGAATCCTGATAACACAATGCGTTACGATTACACTGATTACAAGGATACCTGGAAGGCTATGGAGAAGCTGGTAGGAAAAGGTCTTGTGAAAGCCATTGGGCTGTCAAACTTCAACAGCCGTCAGATCGATGATATACTCAGTGTGGCTACTGTCAAACCAGCTGTGCTCCAGGTAAGTTAAATAAAGAAGAGGACAAATAACTTTTCTGTTTGTCCATAAGTGAAGAATCTTCAAACCAATGCTGTGTGTTTAGCACAAGGTGTTCAGCTTCTTATGTACAGGGAAGAATACAGCCAGCTCTGCAGGAGTAGGCACACAGAGCCTATCATTCCAGGAAGATTAGTTTGTTGGGGAGGTGACCTATGTCCACATTCTGTGGTCGTTTATATCTGCTTAGTTAAGCAGGTCTGTGGGAAGAGCTCATCTTCCCTGTGAGGGACAATTCAGGCTATAAGGAAGAAGCACTGTGAGAGAGTAACTTGAATCGCTTCTTATAGGGAGTTTCCTTGCTTGTTGGATTCTGTTTTGGTACATAGGGAAAATCCAGTGCTCTAAAGTTGGGTATCTGTTGTTTTTCCTGTAGACATAGCCTACCAGATGCTTTTTCATTCTGGTAGTAAGTTATCCTCATAAGGATACCTTACTTAACTTAAACCTTATCCTTATAAGGCTTTTTAGAATCTGGAATGACCTCCTGTGATGCGTTTGGTTCTGCTGTGCTCTTGACTTCTTTGGCTTCCTATTTGTGTAGAGTTTTGTGTTGCTATCTTGTTCTCTAGCCACTCACTGTGGGACATTTTAATAGGTAGAATGCCATCCTTACCTAGCTCAGAATGAGCTGATAGCTCACTGCCAGAAGCGAGGACTGGTTGTCACTGCCTACAGCCCCCTTGGTTCTCCAGATCGCATGTGGAAACACCCAGATGAGCCTGTGCTTTTAGAAGAACCTGGGATCAAAAAGCTGGCAGAAAAGTACAGCAAGTCACCTGCACAGATCATCCTCAGGTACAGGACAACTGTCAGAGAGGGTGGCGTTTGGGACCTGGCCTTAAATGAAGCAAAACACTCACGTTAGAAGGAATCTACTTAAAGTGTGTGTTCTTCTGCATCGGTGGGGAGTTAAAATCACAGGAAGTGCCAAAAGCAAACCCCGTTTGGTGCTTGTCTGACAGAGTTGGTAGAGTTCGCTCTGCCTTAGGGTGGGTGGATGGACTGGATCAGAAGGGTCTGTTCAGGGCCTGAATGCATGCCTGGGACAGTTCACCCATTTCCACTGTGAAACAGCAGTAGCATAACTGCAGCAGTGAGCCAAGATTGAGGGCCACCTACTGAATGTGCATATTGGCCAGTTGCTAAACCCTGGAGTGCTTGTTGCTGCATTCAGGTAGGCCCTCAGGAAGAGGGGCTGAGGAAGGGACCTTCCTTCTTTGCACTGCGGAACCACTGGATACTGGGAGACAAGATGGTTGAGTAATATCCAGAATGTGATCAGCATCTTGTAAAATAAAATTGGGTTCTATCCTCACTTTTTGTTTTGTTTGTCGGGCTTTGTATCTATTAATTTCACTAGCACAGTCTTGGGCAGCAGCAAGTTACCCTGCCAGCTGAACAAGTTCAAGATTTTGTGCTTGAGCCACTAGACAAGCACTTGAGGGATCTGGGTTTTCTTCTGGTTTCTTGGTGGTTGTGTTAGAACTTGCATAAAATGCTGAAGTACGTTTTTGTGACTGTTTCTTGGGCTTCTACTTAAAGCGCCTGAAACTTTGGTTGTTTTTTCAAGGCATGAATGTCTTCCTTTTGTTTAATTCATTGACTACTGTCTTGCTTGAGCTTGCATATACTCATACTCCTAACAGAGTACAGTGCTATGCCAGCCCTCTTCTGGGTATTTTCATTTCCCATAGAAACATAAGTGGCATCCCTGCTGACACAGGTTGTTACTCAACCAAAATAAACATTGTGGGTTTTGGGCTGCACACACAGAAAATCTCTCTCCTCCCCTTAACAGATGGCAAGTGCAGCGTAAAGTGGTTGCCATTCCCAAGAGCGTCACTCCTGCTCGCATTCAGCAGAATCTCCAGGTAAGTATAAATGAAGGAAAGGAGCTTCAGCAATGCCTTTTTCATGTGAGTAATATCCTGTCCTACTACATGCAGAGCAACAAGCTGAGGCACTTGGTTTATACTTGTTCATCAGTGTGTGCATAGACTTGAAAAGGACGGTAAAGACTTTTGGAAAACAAACTTGATATGTTTTAAGCAAGTGTGTGAGCATGTGCACATGTACACATGCAGAGTCTTGTTACAAAAGGTAAAGAATGTACTTTGTAGAAGTCTGAGTGGAAAATCTTTACTGAAATTTATCTGAGGTACAAATCTATTGAACAAGGGAGTCTTCTGATGACATTCAGTGGTTCTTACTGATGAATAATAGTGGCTCTACCCTGTAAGTGAGGGTTGCTGACTATTTCTGCAGCAAACTGCCATGCTAATGATGATGAAGGAGTAAGTGTGGTTCACTTCTGCTCTGAAGTAGAGAGAGTTCACTTTAGGGATTGTGTGGAAACTCTGACTTCAGATAACCTTGAGGGAGGTCTCTGAATCACCTCTTGTGATCTTTTTCTCAGCCCTTAATTGTAGAGATTGGCTGGTTACGCACTTGTTAGGAATTGTTTCTATAACTGTTACTCCCATTAAAACAAAGCTTGCTGTGTAGTAAGCTGCTAGAAATCTCCAGAAACTTGAGTAAATTCTGCAGTTAACTGAGGTTTAGTGCTGTGTGGGAAGAGACCATTGATTCAATTGGCAGGACTGACTTGGAACAGTCCAACTGTGTTTTATCTTTTTGGAAGAGTGCTCTGCAGTATCAAGTGTAGGCTTAGAGCTGGCAAGTGTATGAACACCTCAGACTTTAAGCCTCTGTTTGGTGTTTGTTATAAAATGAATTTTAATGGCAACATCGTGTTTATGAATGTAAGACAAACTAATTGTAACCTGTGGTTATAAAGCCTCTTGCTTTTGTTCTCAGGTGTTCGATTTCAGCCTCACAGAAGAAGAGATGAGCCACATTGGAAGCCTGAATAAAAACTGGCGTTACATTGTGCCAATGATCACGGTAAATTTCTCATGTTTCTCATAGTTTTCATTATGTGCATGTGGCCACAGCTTGGGTTTTCTGCATTTTTCTTTCTTGTACTGTCCCCATCAGAACTACTTACTCATAAGTAGTATGCATAAGTATGTTAAGTAGAAGATGCACTTACCTTATCTTCTTAAGGTATCTAAGATGAAAGGATTTTTCAGAAGCTAGGTACAAAAAAGGTCGCTTTTTGAAATCTTTCCTCCTCTGTTTTGGCCACTGAAGGAGTTCTCATTACAAACCTGTCCATGGGCCTTTAAGCCAGAGTCCCATCTTACTTCAGATCTCTGCAGACTCTTGCTGATACGTCCTTCTCAGGTACAAACAGGCCGAGGTCCATGGCATTCCTTCAGAAGTAGTCCTTGTTCCAGCTGTCCCCATCTACTTTATACCATAAGCCTCTAGGATCGGTGAAGACTGAAGGTGCTTTTAGTTCTCCATACCCATCATAGAAGTCATGGAGGGTAATTTGTCCGCTTCCCTCCAGTGGCTGTCCCCCCTTTCAAAATCTATTTTAATGACTTTCCTCCAATATAAGGAGCTTGGCTTAGGGTGTTCTGTTTTTCTGTCCACATCCATTAGCTGCAGCATCTTTTAGCATCAGTAGTTTTACTCTTGTCACATGAAACTTTCTACCTCATCTGCTATCAGTTGGCAGTCTGGCTTTAGAGAAACAGAAGCTTTGTATGTGTTGAAGTCCTCTTGGTCTTCCTTTATATTAAAGGAACTAACCTTTTTCCTTTCCTCTCCGTGCAAAGAAAAACCCCAAACCCAAGTCAGTGCCATGTTGTCTGCTGTCTTCATAGTATTCCTTATTTCTTACTGTCCTGCTTCTGATTATGCCACAGAAAGCTGTTGCCATTCCCTTGTGTGTCACTGACCACCAGACTGTGCTATAATGAGTCTGAAGTGATGTATCCCTTCTCTATCATACAGTACACCGCATTGACACAGTAGGTCTCTGCAGATTTGGAAGCTGTCAAGCATACCCTTGCCTCTGCAAGCAGTTTGTCTACGTGTAGATTATTCTTCGTTAGTCAGTCAGTGGCTGCTGGCTATAGCTATAGGAATTCTTTTGGGGAAAGCTTTTCTCCAGGATTTCTCATAGCGCTTTTTTGAGTACTTGAGCATGTCAGTGACTAATCTGAATTAGAAAAAATAAGTGAGTGTGGTGAGTAACTGTCTCATATCAAGGGTAGATACTGGTTACAGCTTTCGCTGTTTGTCGTATTGCAGCTTCCAAGAGCTTCAAGGCCATGCTCTTAACTGTATGTTGCTTCAGTATGTGTGTGTAAATATAAACCCCCCACATCCCTGCAGCCAAAATTATCTTTGTGTTTATGGATCAGGAGTCTGTACACCAAACGACAAGCTTAGCTCTGATCTGTGTGTGCAGTAGTGACAAGCACACCTGCTGCTGACAGGATGTTTCTTTCAACTGCTTTGCGACTCGTGCTGCAAACAAAGCTGCTTTGTTAATGAAACTGCAAAATACATTAGGATGTAGCCTCCTTGGGTGAGCCCGGGCTGTCATGTGCTTTTGTTACCTGGGAGACCTGATCAGATCACAGTGATTCACAAAGGAGAGATGAAACAAAGTGCTAGCCCATCCAACTAGAAAAAGGGTGAATGATGCAGCTGGGCTTCAAAGATACTGCCATATTGTCAGATAACAAGATGGGAAGAAGCACGATGAGGAGAATTAAAAGGTGACTCTGCAGCTGTAAGATCTCTAGTGGAACCTTTTGTCTCCTGCTCACCCTTTCTGGGCTCAAAGAAAAGAATTTTCATCAACTGTGAATTAAAATTCCTGTCTAACCTTTTATGCCTACCTCCCCTCTGAGTCAGTTTCTGGATTTCAACGTGTGATACAGCAGTGATATCAGAGCTTCTGCCATAACTGACAAGACAGTTTTTCCTTGTTTTGCTTCATTGATACGTAACCACAAGTTCTTACAGTTGTGCCGCTCCTCTCCACATTGTCTTGTCTAAAGCCTAAGAAGAAGCTGTTACATTGCATGTAGGCAATTCAAGTTGCTTTATACTTTTAACAATTCATTATCTGCATAGAGGCTGGAAATTGCATTGCACTGGCCTGAAATCCCAAACTTTTGGAAACACTTAATTGAGCAGGGAATATACTTAAGTGAAACCTGAATGACTCGCAAGCCAGGAAGAGCAGGAGTGATGGTGTTGTACACATAATTACCTGCTTTTGATAGCACCACTGACCTGCTGTGTGCTCACTGCTGATTTTACCCCACTGCCTTCTCTCAAATTCCTGTGCTAGACTGGAATCAGGTACCTGAAACATTGCTTCTGGCAGCTGCTGTCTTTGCATGCTGTGACACTTGTCCACAGTTTTAAAGATTGCCTTCAGTTGACAGCTTCATTTCAGCTTCATATTAATCTGAGCATCAGTCAAACCTTAACATCTTGGTTTTCTGCTCTGTAGTGCCCCCAAGTGACTAATTTCATACTTCAGTAGTCTCTGTGACATTCATCATGGGGGATTCCAGTTGGTTTGAAATGCAGGCTTTATACTGAAGGCTACTAGAGGGACTTAATCTAAGTTCTAGCTGAATGCTGCTAGTCTGTCACCCAGGGAGATGTGTGTGTCTTCTACCAGTGCTGCACCTAAATTTCCCCAGACATTACAGATGAGGAGCAAGGGTTTACCTTTGCTCCTTGGGGAGTGTTGCAATGGACTTGGTGCAAATAAAAATGCATTAAGTCCGTGCATCTGAGTGCTTAGGTGTGGGATGTAGGAATTGAGACTTCTGCATGACCACGTCTGCTTTTGGGCCAGCTGGAGCCTCTCTTTCATTACCTGTGAATACTGGTTTCAGTATTCCCACTTTATAGCTGGAGAAGCTGGTCTTCCATGGAAATGTTCTTAAGCAAAAAGTGCTGTGAGGGAGTTCAGTGACACTGTTAATGCTTCAGTATGTGACCCTGAACAAGTCATTCGAATGCGTTTCATCTTACCCATGTGTAAAATTGGCAGCCCAGCAACTCTCCATCATGGAAACACGGGGAAAAAGCTCCAATTCCAATAAAGTGTTTTGAAGTCTGCATGTTACAACATTGACTCAATAACAGCTACAAGGCAAAAGGCTTTTAACTATTCTTAATCTAATTCTTCGAGTCTCAGCAGCTTGAAAGACTTGCTCCAGGCTACAGAAACCTGTCTCCTCTTTTTTTAATGAATTTTTAAGTTTTCCTTTCACAAAGTGCTAGGAGGACTCGGGAGCAGGGAACCGGCTCTTGTTTAAGCTGAAAAAGACTCCCAGGTGTTTGGATCTTCCTATCCCAGAAACTGAAATCATGCAAACCTTGAAACTGAGAGTAAGAATGAATTTCTGTCCTTCTGACTTGAGTCTGCTTGTTCCACAGGTGGATGGCAAGCTCGTGGCCAGAGATGCTGGACACCCGCACTACCCCTTCAATGACCCCTATTAACTACAAGAAAATAAGGTGTTAAGGAACATGCTCCTCTGCATGTCATTCCACAGAATAATTGTTTCCACAAAGTAATTGTTTCCACGAATTGTCAAAATCCTCTGTCCAGATGGAACCTTCCTTCCTGAGTAGGTTTATTTACACTGCTTCTAACTGACCTCCTTTCTGGAGATACTGTAGCTTCCCTGTCAAAGTTTGTGGATTTATTACAATGACCATAAACTTGCTCCTGGAAGCATCAATCGTTTGGGAATTAGATAAATAGTGGGGGAGTCTAAATCAAGTTCCTAACATATTGTTATGAGGCTGGGGCAATACTTCGGGGTTAATGTCTGTGAAACGGTTTTGAAGGCTTTAGTTATTGCCAAAGCAGGGAAACAAAAACCACAAGGTGAAGGAATGAAAGCATTTTAAGTCTGCACAACTGCTTTGCCATCAACTTTGATATCTTTATTCCCTGCGTAAATTACTGTGGTTGAAGTATGTCCGTAAACCATGCACTAAACCCCAAGTAACCAGCCATGCCCAGTGCTTTTTATCCACTTTGAGTACTTGTGGGACTTGGAATTCTCCCTTTCTCTTTTTATTGTAATTTGCCTGTAGATTTGAGGAGAATGAATGCGCACCCTGGTGCAGGCCTCTGGGGCAAGCTTTTGTGTTGCTTCTCACACGGATAGGTTTTGGCTCTTGACAGTAGCTCTGATCATCCTGTCACAAAAGGATCCAGACTGTTTTTGCAAGTCTTGTAGCAAACCAGCCTGCTTTTCCTGTAGTTTCCCAGTGTCTCTTTACCAAAGATGCCCAGTTTGAGTTTTGAAAGGTCACAAGATTTTAAAAACAAAGACCTGTCAGGGGGCCCCTTCCATTTTAATGTCACATTTTGGACTGCTGCTGGGTTGATGCTTGGGAAAGCTGGTCCTGCCCCCTGTTCTTCTGCCGACCTGCTGGCAACACTGGGCAAGTCACTTGCCTTTCCTGTGCCTCTTTTCCTACTTGACATGCCTCCATGTCACTCCGTGGTGGGAACTGGTTTACGGAGTGCTGATACACTGCTGAGCAGGACCGGAACTCCAGCTCCAACACCAGTTCAGTCTCTTAAGGAATTGTTCAGCCATCGGTACAAAGGCTGTGAGGTGACAGCACCTACCAGTACTCTGAAGGTGATACCTTCTGTGGCCTTAGCAGTGTTAACACTTTACTTCGGTTTTCTCTACCTGTAAAATAGGCTTAGTGCTCATTTGCCTTGGTGCAGGCACAGTAGCAAGGCAGTTTCTAAAGGCCTCTCAAATGTAAAATAAGGGCACTCTCTTATCTCTGTTGATGCCAATCAGAGACAGTCATAGACTTCTCCTTTGCTGCAGGATAAAGAAAGTTTAACTGACTGTAAATGAAATAAAGAGCACTTAGAAAGATAATCCTCTGTATTCAGATAGTTCAAAAATTCAAAGGAATTAGCTTTCTGTTTTGATAACTTTATTTACAGTAGGCCTATAGTAAACCTACATGTTCAACTCGAGCAGAATGCTGCCGTACGTATTTCCTGCCCTGGGCCTCACAGCATGCAGCTTAACGGCGACAAACCTGTTTTATCACTCTTTGTAATCCTTATGTAAAAACCGAAGAGCTCCTGTGTTGGGTGTTTCCTAATTCCTGCTGAATTTACCTCGGTGGAGAAAGCCATTACAGCTCCATTAACAATCTGTACTACCCTGGAACGTTTTCTCTAAGGGAAATGAAATCCCTGCCGTTTGGGGTTTTATTATTCTAATCAAACGCGGGTGACTTTAACTACAGTTCTTACTGCACATCAGTAGGGAAGCAATTCTCCTTTGCAGGCGCTGTGTGGGATGTTAACAGCAGTCATTATGCCAAGGAGAGCGGCTTTTGTTGCATGGATTTCCACTTGCATGTCTTAAGTAAATACTCGGTGTATGACTTCGGGACTGTTTCCCCCTCTTTCCTGTCGGGGCCCCAATTAACTTTTTGTAGTTACTTCCTTTAATGCGAGTAAGCAAGCAGGCAGAGAATTCCTAAGGAAAGCAGTTAAATTCGGCATATCGACCCCGCAGTTCCCAGCTCTGTGACTCCATGCACTAACAGGGTGCCGTTGGGGCCGCTGAACTTCTATCTTGAAACAGCGCAAGGGGAAATGAGCTTCAGCTCTCTGCCAGCGGCTTTCCTGCCGCTGTGCGAGTTCTCTGTCCGTCTCTGCAGCTGCAGCAGCAGCAGCCATGTCTGCCTTGGCTGGTGGGAAACGCATGGGCTGAGGTTACACCAGGGCAGGGGCGCTACTGCTGCCCCAACCGCCCAGTGGAGCATTACGAGCCCTTGCGTGCGCTGGTTGTGCCCCACGGCGGGGAGCGCCTGTCCGCTGCCCCATGGCAGGTCAAGGCGTGCGGGCCCGCCGGAGGGGTGGGCTCTGCCTGTGAGCGGCGGAGGAGATCGGCTCTCCGGGACCGCAAACAGCGTCTGGCTTCTTGACCCGCGCTGAGGTGCGGGCTCGGCCCCGCCTCTGGGGCAGGCCGTTCTGCCCTCCACACGGCCACCTTCCCCCGGGGCGGGAGCGGCGCAGCGAGGCCCCGGCCCTCCCACCGCCGCGGGGACCGCCCAGATACCGGTCGGGGCGGCCGCGGGCACGGCGGAGTCGGGGAGAGGCCGGCGGCGCGGCGGCAGGACTACATTTCCCAGCATGCCGTGCTGCAGCGGCCTGCCGGCTGACCGCCATTTCCCCGCCTCACCCAGCACTACACTTCCCAGCGTGCCGCGCGGCCTCTCCGGGTCCCTCCGCCTTGGGACTACACTTCCCAGCAGGCCCCGCGCGGCAGCGCTCCCTTCTGTCCCGCAGCGTGCCGTCGCGCGGCATGCCGGGAGTCGTAGTCCCCCCGCGGAGTGCGCGCGCCGCGAGGCGGGCCGGGGCGTGTCCTCGGGGGTATATAGGAGGCCGGAGGGGAAGGGGTCTACACTCCGCCGCCGCCGCCCCTGTCTACCGCAGCTTCTATGCAATCTCCGGCTGTCGCCGCTCCCCCTTGCGTCGAGTCCGCGCCGGCCTCCACGACGAGGTAGGGCCGCGCGGGCCGGCCCCGCTCTCGGTGTGTGCGTGTCGGGAGGGGTTGTAGCGGGGGAGCGCTTTAGCGTCGTAGGGTGGGGGGGGGCGGCCGGCAGGATTTCCTCTGGCGGGTGGGGGAGATAAGGGCTGGAGGCCGAGAGGTCTCTCCCGGTCGCCTGCCGCCCCCTTTCCGTCGTCCCCCCCCCCCGTGCCCTCGCGGGCGGTGGTACGTGCCGTCCCGCTCCCCCGGAGCCAGCTGGGCCCGCTCGGCTCGCGCGGAGCCACCACGTGACCCCTGCGCGGTTGCTGCCATCTTTGTTGGGGGCAGCCGACGCTGCGGGTCCTGCCCGTGGGGCGGGCTGGGGGGGAATGGTCCTGCGGCGTCACGTGACGCCGCGCCGGCAGCCCGTCAGGAGCCGCCGTCGCGGTTTGGCGCCAATGGCGATGGGCGGGGCTGGCGGAAGGCGGGAAAGGCGCCCATTGTTTGCGAGGGGCGGGGGGCGCGCTGCGGCCCTGCCTGCCTCGCTCGGCCTTTGTTCCGCCCGGGAGCTCCGCAGCCCCGGCCACGGGTCCCCCTCGTGCCTGTCAGCTGTCCTGCGGGGGCCGTGGCCAGGGCCCGGGCTCCTCGAGCGGCGGCACGGGCCCCTTGGGCACGGGTCTGGGGTCTCCTGGTAGGAAACGCGGGGTGGAACTGCCCGCGTTTGCGTGTGGGGACAGGGCTGAGCCGCTGCGAGCTGGGGATTGGTGGTGCCAAGTTTACACGGTGGATTGGCTGGCAGGGCTTGGTCTGATACATCCTGGGCGTGAAAGCAGCTGCTTCCCTAACAGCGCTTCGTGGAAACGGGAAACAAAACGGAAAGTAGACGTTTCTCCAAAACATAGCTTACGAACGTGCTCCGGATGGCTGAGCACCTGGAAAGCTCTTCCTGGCCCTGCCTCTGCACCTCCCATCGTGAAACGGGTGGCCTGGCATAAACACTCGATATTTTGTTTGCAGGATGGAAGAGGAATTGGCAGCTCCTTCCACATCCACAGACAAGACAGACAGGTGAGATGGGAGTCAGGTTTGTCAGTTACTAAAGAATGACAGTGGTTTGGGTTGGAAGGGAACTTAAAGATCATCTAGTTCCAACCCCCTGCTATGGGTACCCTCCACTAGACCGGATTATTGAGTGAAATGAAGAAGTCATCCTTCAAACTGGTTGTTAGGCTTGAAGTTTAACTGGTGGGGCTGCTGTAGATGCTCACAACTTGTACTCACCTGTAGTCTGCATGAATCTAGTCCAATAAAATGCCTTCAGGGAGTAATAAGCACACAAATACCGGCTGTTGTTTGGGAAGTTCTTGATCTTTGAGTTAGTGCTGGGGAAGCATTGGGCAGGTATCAGTAGGTGACTAGTGTGTAGTAGTTCTGTGTGTGTGCAGCTCCGCTTGTCCCAGCCCAAGGTTCTGGGCTGGGCTGGACCTTTTGGAAATGAAACTGTGACATGTGCTGCACTGACACAAAACTTGCATCTGCCATTCCTCAAATGCATCATGCCGTGCTATGAGAAGTCAGAACTTGGATTTAGTCTTCTTTTTCTTGGCTTAGCTAGCATTGGAGTCTGCTCAGACACTGCACAGTACTCATTGTGTGACTCTTAAAGTATGTTCTTCAGCATCCGTTGTCATACCAGATTCTGATACCTGCTTCTTGCAGTGTTTGGTTAAAGTAAACCATCTGCCCTCAGTCATAACAAGTAAAAGTTGGTCCAGATTTAAACAAAACGAAGTACCCCCCTACCTTGGTCCTTCCAACCAGTGTAACGTCTGCAACTTGCTCTTATGTAAAGCTGACTCAGATTTGGAAGCTGGATATGAAATTACTGTGGAAACTAACAGAATACTGTTTTGTTTTATTCCCCCTCCAGTATGGATGTGGATGGAGAATCAAAGAAACTATTGGGTTTAGGACAGAAACACTTGGTAATGGGAAATATTCCGGCTGCTGTTAATGCATTCCAGGAAGCTGCGAGCTTACTGTGAGTAGCAGAATGTTGTGTGTGGTTTTGCAGGGTGTGGGGTTTAGTTTGTCTGTGCTGTTGTGTCTTACACAAAGAAGACATAAATTGTTACCTTAGGATAAGCTACTTGATTTAACTCAAGCATTGGACAGTGCTGTAGTTGGTGTGCAATTTTGACAGCCTTTGTGTGATAGTAATTGCCAGTGCAGCTCCCAAAGGAGGAAAAGGGATTTGGTATTTGATTTTGCAGTGTATGGTTCTGGTGGCTGTTAATAGGACAATAATGAGGTAGCGTTACTTGCTAGTAACTTGTTCACGCATCTTGATCAATCTCTGAGGGTGATGCCTCTGGGTTTTAGATTAATCTGCTTTGCTGGGTGTTGGAGAGCCGTGTCTTGCAAAGTCAGAGCAGCATTTTTTACCTCTTCGAAACAGTGGGAGATGAGCTAACAAACTGATTCTTCCTGTCCAGGCGTCTTTAGCTTATAGGTACTAAAACCTAGAATAGGCACAGGGAAATAATTCTTCATTAACTTTTGTAGGGGTAAGAAATACGGTGAGACAGCGGATGAGTGTGCGGAAGCTTTTTTTTACTATGGGAAATCTCTTCTGGAGTTGGCAAGGTACGCTGACAGTTTCTTGTTTAAGTCTGACTGGTGTAACAGGATTCCACCCTCATATAGACTGGAATACACACTAAACTTCATCTATGCTGGGTGGGATGGGCCGTGGCATTGCAGCTTGTGGAATTGAAATGGTGTTGTTACAGGAGCTAAGGGATAACAAGCTTTTCTTCCCTTTAGAATGGAAAATGGCGTGCTGGGAAATGCCTTAGAAGGGGTGCAGGTTGAAGAGGAAGGAGAAAAAGCTGAAGATGATTCTGCATTACCAGCTGCTGATGGTATGTAAAGCTGTCAGATGCGTCATGGAGGCAGGCACCAAGCTGCGTTTTCTGGTGTGAATGATCCTTTATCTTGGGTAGCCTGAAGCATTCTGTTGAGACACTAAGCAGCCTTAACAGACTTTGTTTTGTTGTTGTTCTTCTAATCTAGCTTAAAGATTGAATAAAACTGCAAGGAACTGGTCACTGAAAGCATGTGTTATGGCCACCAGGTGTCTGTGTTGTGAAACACTGCACTCAAACTTGCTTTCTTAAGCTTCACAGTCGACCTGCTTTGTAACCTTGCAACAGTACAGTGTGTGTAGTAGGACAGGTTGGAGTAAAATGTCCAAGAACAGTCGCTATTTTATACTCCCTGCAGCTGGAGATAATACAGGAATTCCTGTCCATCCAGGCTATTAAAACACTGGCATCTCTTGCTTAGCTGTGACTAAACGCTAGCGCTCAGAACTGCACACTGCTTGAGCAGCCGCTTGCAATAATACAGTCAGGGGAAGGGATTTGCTTAGTTTGAGTTACTGTGTTGGTTCTGTCCTAATTCCTTGTACTTTGAAAATGAAGCTTTTAGGAATGTCATCTAACTTGATGGCAAATCAACACACTGGAGGGTCTGAGGGTGGTGGTGTCAGTGCCCGTTAATGTCTTTAACACTAAACTCGAAGAAATGTTTATGCTTCCTCAATCATGTAGAAGAAGCAAGGAAGGACTTGAGAGAACAGGTATATAACGCTATGGGTGAAAAAGAAGAGGCCAAAAAGTCAACAGGAGAGTCTCCAGTGGTATCTGAGAAGGAAAACATAGAGAAGGATGTTGAAGTGAAAGATATCGTGGAAGAAAAAACAGAAGAAGGAAGTGCTGACAAGGATGTAAAGCCTGAAGAGGCTGAAGAGAAAATGGAGGTTTCTGTGGAAAAAGAAGTAGCTTCAGAAGAGCAGAAGCAGCAGGAAGCTATGGAGAAGGAGGCCACAAAAGAGGAGGCAGCTGCAGAAGAGAAGGTAGTGGAAAAAGAGCAGAAGGTGATGTCTGAAGACAAGGTAGCAGAGGCAACTGAGGAGATGGAGAGCACAACAGAAGTGATGGATGAGGAGGCAAAGGCAGCTGTGGAAGACGCTGGAGCTGGAAGAGTGGCTGTGGAAAAGAAGGGAGAGCAGGCAGCAGAAGCAACAGAAAAAAAGCCTGCTGTGGAGAAGGGAGAGGCTGTAGAAGGGCAGGCAGAGACAGCTGTGGATGAGAAGGCAGTAGCACAAGTGACAGCAGAAGCACAGGCAGCAGTTTCTGTGGAGAAGGACACTGCAGAAAGGGAACCAGAGGCAGCTGAACAGAAGAAGGTGGAGGAGAAGCAAGAGCCAGTAGAGACCACTACGGAAGAGAAGCCAGATGAATCTAAAGAGACAGAGTCCTCAAAGGAGCCTGTGCCCACAGAGGGTAAAGAGCTGTCTAAGGACCTGGAAGAAAAGGCTGAAGTAGCTGCTAAGGTAGAGAAAGAGGAACAGAAAGATGACCTGATGGAAGAGGGTGAAGGTGCTAAGGTAGAGAAAGAAGAGAAAGATGACCTCATGCAAGAGGGAGAAGGTAACAGGAGAAAAGTACTTGTGGGTGGATGACTTGATGGATTTGGCTAACAATGGGTAAAAAGTGTTCCATTCAGGATTTTCTGTTTGCCTTAGAATAAGGAAAAGGCACAGTAAAGGGGCTCTTGGAGGATTTTACATCCAAGTAAAGTTTCAAGGAGTAGTGAATAGTCTCAGTTTCGCCAGACTAACGCTTAACTAACTGCAAAGCAAATCTTATTTGAAAGCAAACTTATAGCCCTGTGAAATGTGTAAGTAATGGCTAGGCTGGTGGAGAATACTGAATGGATGTTCACTTGCATGCGTCTGGGTTTAGTGCACTAACCTCCAAATAACTTGAAGCACAAGTTGCCTCTGGTGTTGTATTTGATTTTAAAACAGTGGAGCAGAAAAGTAAGAACAGCTGAAGCCTTAATGTAGTAAATGTGCTTTTAGTGGGGTGAAGGAACTCTCCATTTGAGTCTTTCTGGTTGTAACTGCAGGGAGAATTTGGTTGGCAAATCTAAACTTCATTTGCCCTGGAACCTGAAGGCTTATTGCTGCTATCTAGTGCAGTCTTGCAGCTATCTAGCTTTTTCTGCCATTCTGCTTCGCTGCTTCATGACAGTTGTTTTCAGGATAATGTTAAAGTAACCCACTTCAGAGTAAAACTTGAGCACTTTGACTTATTACTTGTATGGTCTTAGTAGGCCAGTGCTTTGTGTTGCACAGATTGATGAGCTGATAATTGAAGCTTTGCTTGTCAGTAACTCTGCTTCACAGGAAAACCCATATTGGGAGTAGCAAACATTCAGGCTAAAAGGTTCTGGACACTGAAACATTTGTGCTGCTGAGCACAGTGAATGCTCAGTGGTGGAGCAGCTGCCTAACAAAGTGGCTGTCTGAACAGAGTGTAAACTCTGAACAGAACGTAAACTAAGAGCAGTTATCCACTCACCATCCTGTGAAAGGCTGCTTGTGTACCCACACTGCTGCTTTTTGTCCCCAGCTCTGTAAGTGTGAGGATACTCTTGGTCTGGTGCTGTGTTATTCCAGGCTCCTCCCACTACTTAAAATTTAACTTCCTAACATCTCTTCTGTTTTACCTTTGATCGAGCTGTCCTCACACTCACAGGTTTGGCTCCTTCAGTGGTAGGTGTGTGCTTTTGGGGAGCTAGACAAACAGGCTCATGGGTTCCCTAGTTCCCACCTCATCAAGCTCCTGTTATTTTGGAATTAGTCAGTGGTCATGATGCAGGAATTAAATGTGAGACTTGAGAACACTAATTGATTTGTATGTAAAGTTACTGACCATATTCCTTCACTGCACATGTCCTCAGAATGTGTTCTACTGGTAGAATAGCTCTTACCAGAAGACAAATCAGTGCCACACAATAGCAGGTTTGTTAATAACATTGCCACTTAAGTGTCTTATGTGAGGAACACTAATTCAGAAATGGTCTTACTTGTACACAGTTGGCAGCTATCTTGCTGAAAACACTATGTGTTGCATGAAGTCCAGCAAATGAGCAGTACCTTCAGGGCTGCTCAGGGTGCAAGGGCTTCATTGAGGGTTCACAATTCTGTGTAAGTTTCCATTCTAGATAGTTTAACTTCATAAAGTTGAACTTAAAATGTGGACTAAGGTAGTCTGGAGCTACTCGAGTCTACAGTGCCCAACACTTTTGGCGAGATGGCTGCTGCTGCTGAGAATTTAATACATATGTACTGTTCTTGCACATCTAACCTGTCGCTGGAAGAATGAGGGCTGGATACGATACGTTCTACCTGACTCCGTGTGAAGCAAGTGTAGCGCCAACAACTGCTCTCATTCGTCTACTTTCCTTGTAGAAACAGAAGAATCTGAAGAAGAAGATAAAGAAAATGATAAAGCTGAAGATGATAAGGAGAATGAATTGACAGTGGAAGACAAGGTGAGATTGTGAGCTCTGTTATCTGTGCTTGGGGGGGGAGTGTGGTACTTGTCTAAATGTCATGTCAGTATCTTTATACAAGCTCAACTGTATTTCATCTAGTTCTGTTTAGGAAATGACTTTTGCAAATGAATTCTGCCCCTTCCTCAGGCAATATTGCGCATAGTCTGCATTGTAGGATGCTGCTCAGCTCTTTCCTATAAACTTGGGCTTGTTTAGCTATGCTGAAACAAACACTTGTGGTCTGCTAATAAGTAGTGCAGCCTGGTAAATGCAGGGGCAGGCAGGGAGAGTTGCTTTAGCTGGCTGCAAGAGTTACTTGGAATTCTGAGTTTATTCACTGCTTGTTTTGTTGTTGTCTCACTATGGTCATATTGAATGTACCCAGTCCAGTGATTAGGATGGGAAGTGCAGTAAAGTGGAACATCAACTCCTTTCTATTCATCTAAATAGCACCTCAAACAAAATCTTATTCTTGGGATAATATTGGTGCTTGGTGCCTTGTTCCTGGAAAAAATGTTAAGGCCGTATCAGCCAACAATGTAAGCTTGGTTTTCACTTAAAACATCGTCACTGCAGGCAAAGTCTCGGTTGATGCAATAATATCTTCGTGTTCTTTTTTTTTCCTCCTTGTTGTAAACTGTATATCTCTTGAAATCTATTCCTTGACAACACTGCTTAGAAACTTGGTGTTGTTGTTTGATGTGGTACGTAACCAAGTCACTTAATCTTTAATGCACGTTTAGTCTTTACAGGAGAGTGAGGAGGATGAAATTGGAAATCTTGAGCTGGCCTGGGACATGTTGGAGTTAGCAAAAGTCATCTACAAGAGGTAAAGACTTCTGTCCTAATTTGGACATGTGCTGGATAAACTCATTGTAAATCGGGGGGTGGCATAATTAGTGAGTGTGGCATATTCTGATCAAGATTTAACTATTTCTCTTCAGACAAGAAACAAAAGAAGCTCAGCTCCATGCAGCTCAAGCTCATCTGAAGCTAGGAGAAGTTAGCATTGAATCTGGTAAGTCATACTAATTCTCATGTACAACCGATTCAGTTCCACTTCCTGCCAGCTCTCTTTCAGACTTTCAGATGAGTGGGGGTGAGTTAAGGCTGTTAAGACAAAAACAAAATACTTTGTCTAATTATGATGGTGCCACTGCATGAAAAGCTTTGGAATCAATGGATGATCAAGTTGGTTCCTTAAACAGGATACTCCATGCTTTTCCAGACCAATGGAAGAATGCTTTGAGTAAGAAGTAATGTGTTGCCAGATCAAAACCAACCTTGTGTTGTGCTTTATAGGCGAGTTTTGGTTAGCTTGTGAAAGTTAGGAGACACTTTCCTTATTGAAGGAGTGAGCCACTGAGCTCAGTAGTAGGTGTTGGTACCATGCCTTGTCCAGAACAAAAAGACTGCAGATGAAGAATGGTTGATTCTCTTAAACTTTCCAAAATGTATGTATGTATGTATGGTCAGAAAAGAGTGCTATGCATCAGGAAGAGTAGGAAACAAGCCCCAGGTTTGCACCTTCTAATGTGTCTTATCTGCCCTTCATTTAAAGTGTTTTAATCTTGGTAAATCCAGATGGAACATAATGTTTCTCTATGGCAAGCACTGGTAATAATCTTGACAGGCTTCTGGACAGGGACTACAAAATGAAGGTTGTGTTTCTGTGTCACTAAAGAGCTTGACTGGAAGGTAGCAAGGGACCATCCTTAGCTCTAGATTCAAGCTGCAGTTGTGACCAGGTACATTTGATTCATGGTAGCAGGTAAAATAGGAGAATTTGTGTGCCTGGGTTGACTTGGCTGCTTAATTTACTGTGGTGCTGCAAATAGACAAAGCCCTCCTGAGGAACTGGCCTCTAAATCTATGAGGAGGGAGGCAGTGTTGTCATTTGATAGTCTTAAAGCAGCCCGGCGTTGAACTCGGGTGCTGTGTTCAATGGTGGTTCTGTTTTCAGACTGTATGAAGTGTAACAAAATAGAGAGTGAATGAGGGTTTAGATCTTGCTTGTTTGGATAAATGAGTGTGGTTTGTAAAGACCTCATGGTTTTCCTCTCTAGAAAACTACACACAGGCTATAGAAGAGTTCCAGGCCTGCCTTGCCCTGCAGCAGAAGTACCTGGAGGCTCATGACCGCCTGCTTGCTGAGAGCCACTACCAGCTGGCTCTGGCATATCACTACAACAGCCAGTTCGATGAGGCCGTTCTGCAGTTTGGCAAATCTGTGGAGGTCATTGACAAGAGGCTGGGTAAGTGGATTTCTAAAGCTGCATACTGAATAAGAGAGCTTTCACAAGTCAAAGCAGACTTCAACTGCACTACAGGTAGCTAAGTGTGCTTTATTACCTTGCCTTGACAATGTTTGCTGGTCTGAAAGTGGCAGCAGGCTATACTGATACGGGGTTGTTGAAAATGTGTTAGGGGATGCTTGCCTCTGGGTGTTAACTGTGGGCAGCTACTTTGTCTTGATTGTTTTTGTTTTTTTGCCATGATAACTGTTTAATCCTAGCAATGCTTACTGAGCGGATAAAGAAGGCAGAAGGTGGGTGTCCTGAAGATGAGAAAGAGATTGAAGAACTGAAGGGACTGCTTCCTGAAATCAGAGAAAAGATAGAAGATTCAAAGGAGTCTCAAAAGAGTGCAAGAGTAGCTGAGTTGGCACTGAAAGCAACTCTGGTTAGTGTGTCCTGTGGTTTCTTTTTACCCAAACGCTTTTCCAGGGAGACTTAAAGTAAACCCATAGTGGGAGGAGCTCAGACTTGGCTGTTGGGATTGAGGGCTGGTGGTTGCTCACATTCGTTACAGGCGGTGATTGTTGAGAAGGTAATTGAGGTACTTGATATCTAAAGAGAGGGTGTTTTATTTATAAATACCCTGACATTAAGTGTTCCAAACTAAACTTGAATTCTGTACTCTTCTGTCACAATTTAATGTGTCGGGGCTGGCAATGACAGATCAGCCAAATGTGAGAATAGATCAAGTGTTGCACTTGTCCTGTGTGTGTATGTAGAATGGAGTGGTAAGACATGAAGGGTCTCTGTTTTCTGTCCCTTTCTGAACTAACATGGTCTTGCCAGAATTTGTTCACTGTTTCTTCTGCTTTTCTGAAGGTTGGAACTACATCTGGCTTTGCACAAAGTGAAGACAGCGGCTCTGTTTCCACAGTAAGTTAGCTGAAGATGGATGCTGATAATTCATGTCTGCTGTAAGGATTACTGTTTGGTGTTACTCATGTGTCCACGTCTATCTTGTAATAGATTCCGGTAAGAAAAGCAGCTGATGGTGCATCTCAGTGTGTTACAGACATCTCTCACCTAGTCAGGAAAAAGGTGAGTCCAGAAGTGACTGGTTGAGCAGTTTGGTAGAGTACCACTGGCTTGTTCTGCATCATTGGATTTCTTGTCTTAAAGCTTTTTTCTGAGCTTAATTTTATAATGATCAAAAGCCCTCTAAAATGAAAGCCAGAAATAGTGGGTGAAACACCTTTCCACTGGGAGCCAGGCAGTCTGGGAACCATCCAGCCTCCAGGAGTCTGTTCCGGGTGCTTCAGTACCCTGCCTGACTCACACTGGTTTAACTTCAGACCGAGTTGTGTGGCTTCTGCTGGCCAGGAGTGCCCTCCTCTGCTGAGGGCCTGCAAGAGCTGCAGGGCTGCCTACAGATCTTGAGCGCAAGCAGCAAGGCTGAGCTGGGTTCCCTTATTTCCAAGTGGAAAAGGAGAATTAAATCTTAATGAATAGCAAAGCCAGTTTAATGGTAGTAATGATAAACTGCCTCTTAAACAGACAGGTATTGAGCACCAGGTTCCTTCAAAGGTGTGTTGTGTTTTTCCTAGAATTGCTTACTAATAGTACTGAGAAGAGCCCTCACAGGATCTTAGCTTTTATTTTCTATGCTGCTGTGGCACAGCCTGGCCTGTGTTATGTTTATTGGCCTCTTTCAGTTCAGGTTTGCCTGGAGCAACTTTGATCTGCTTTATGCAGGTGTTTGTGTCATAGATGTTCTAATTCCATCCCTTTTAACTGTTACCTGGCTCAGCAGTTGAACGTTTCCTTGCCAAACTATAACTAAGCACTATAGGTACCAGCATTTCAGTAGTGGCTTACTAGAAATCCTCTGTGGTCTCAACCACAGAGCTTTGGTTAAATCTTAATGAACATTGAAGTATCCATGTTGAACCCGGCAAGCAGAGCTTGAGCAGATGATATGCAATGATGTCTAGGTGCTAACTCTCTAAAAAATACTTAAAATCTCATTTCTACATAGTGAAGACTATAAACATTTTGTCCTCAGAGGAAACCAGAGGAGGAGACTCACCAGGGAGACAATGAAGCTAAGAAATCTAAACCAGAGCCGGCTGTCAATGGTGGTGGTGGTGGTACTGTCCCCAGTGGAAATGAGGTTGCAGAAAAAATGGAAGAGGAGGTGGGCAGCTGAGGCAGGACCCTGCCCTGGGCTTTGGTTTCCTTTTTTCCTCCCTCCTCTGTTCAGGTGTGGGTTTGTGCCTGGGTTTATTCCTGCTGGCCTTCACAAGGCTTCCCAGGGGAGGTGGGAACATTCCCCACTTAGCAGTTATATTTTATATATATAGTATGGTACTTGTGTTATACCATAGTCTCAAACACCACATGGGCCGGACAGACACAGCTGTGGAGACTTGCAGCCTGTCGGGTGGGACAGAAATGTGTTCTGGGTGCTGAGCTACAGCACAGGGCCTTTCCCCAAGTAATTGTCAATACCCCTGGGCTGCAGTGGTTCCTGTCAGTATGTTAGGGTAGTGTTGTGCTTTGAGGACCAGCAGGAGGAGTCAGTTAAGGCCTCAGACTGCAGGAACCTTGAGCTGCTGCATGAGTCGGTGCTGTCAGGGAGTCCCTTGTGTTCTAAAACCAAACCCTTTTCTTCTCTTTTAGACAGAGAAAAGGCCACAGGCAGAATCAGGGGCTGCAGTTGAAAGCACAGTATGATAATTCTTTAACCTTGGACACTCCTCTCCTTACAAGGAAAATGGTTTTGTATATAGTGTATTTTTTCACTTTTTGGCAACTTTTGTATGACTTCAATAAAGATTGTAAGCAAATGTTCCTTGGCTTGACCTGCTCCCTGTTACAAACTGCAGCCTCTGCTCCTCAGTCCCCTCCCTAGGGGGACTTGGCACAGTGTGGGGCCTCAGCCTTTCCACTCCAATCTGCCTAATGAGGCAGGAGGGAAGGTGGGTGCTGGGGCAGGCTGGGCTGGCTGGTGCTGGGCAGAAGAAAGGAATAAAATTCACTGTAGCTGTGTCTAAGGCAACTCTAGATCAGACTTCTTTTGCCTTCTGCTGGGCTAGGGCACAAGCCCTGGGGTTGTAGAATCATAGAATAGTTAGGGTTGGAAAGGACCTTAAGATCACCAAGTACCAACTTCCCTGTCATGGGCAGGGACACCACGCTAAACCATGTCACCAAAGGCTCTGTCCAGTCTGGCCTCGAACACTGCCAGGGATGGAGCATTCACAACCTCCCTGGGCAACCCATTCCAGTGAATTCCACCCTCACAGTGAAGATCATCCTTATATCTAACCTGAACTTCCCCTGTTTAAGTTTTAACCCGTTACCCCTTGTCCTGTCACTACAGTCCCTAATGAAGTAGTCCCTCCCCAGCATCCCTATAGGCCCCCTTCAGATACTGGAAGGCTGCTTTGAGGTCTCCATGCAGCCTTCTCTTCTCCAGGCTGAACAGCCCCAGCTTTCTCAGCCTGTCTTCATACAGGAGATCATCCTCATGGACTACTTTGGGCTTGTTCCAACATTTCCATGTCCTTTTTACGTTGAGGACACCAGAACTGCACACAATACTCCAGGTGAGGTCTAACAACAGCAGAGCAGAGGGGCAGGATCACCTCCTTTGACCCGCTGGTCATGTTCCTTTTGATGCAGCCCAGGGTACAGTTGGCTTTCTTGGCTGCAAGTGCACACTGAAGCCAGCTCATCTCAAGTTTCTCATTGACCAATATCCCCAAGTCCTCCCCAGGGCTGCTCTGAATACTAGCTATGGTTATTTTGTTCTTCCTACCCTGAGCCTGGGGTGAGTTTCTGGGGTCCCTCCCTTACGCTGCTCAAGGCTAAACAGGCTGGGGATGGCTGATAAGAGCTTGTCTGGCCCCTGCACCCTCTGTAATTGCCAGGACTGTGCTCAACCGGCATGGGTGGACTGAGGGAGGGGTGGGGCAGGAGGTGATGGCTTTTCACAAGGATGTGAAGGTGCCATTCTCTGAGCCAGCCTCAGTCTCTGTGCCCAAGTGTGGATGAGAGACTGCTCTGGGGCAAATGTATATGTTTTATATGTGTATGTATATACATAAAAACCAAACGGTGCCTAAGAACTGAAGACCAAGAGGCTGAAGCTATTTATTAAACGTGGCAGATACGATGAAATTCACCACGGGCTTTGCTCTCTCAGGGGTGAGCTGTGGTTACCTCTTGTTGGGCTTCCCCTAGAACGGGCTTGTGGTGATGTGGAGCTAAACTATAGGGAAAAGGGGGAGAGGGGGAAAGCGACTGTGCCCCACCACCAGTCCTCACCACCACCCCATGACAGGATGCAGCAACTCAGCTGTGGGCACTGCTGGGGCAAGGAGCAGCCTGAGGTGGAGGCTGAGCCCTGGGGTGGCTCTTGATGCTGTCAAAATGTTCAGAGCCTCCCTGGTCCCAGGAGGGGCCCCGTGTGCTTCCCCCCTTCCCCAGCACTGCAGGGCCCTGTGCTCATCACACAGCTGGGCCCAAGCCCCATCCCTGCAGCTGTAACAAATTTTGCCATCCCCTCATCACACTTGTTAACAAAGCCCCAATTTCCTGCTCCAGCCTGGTGAGGGGACACTGGGATGCTGGGGCAGCGCTGTGTGGACATGACCCATTCCCAGCTCACCTCTGGGGATGGGGAGGTTTGTGCTGTGCTGGGAGCTCCTGAGCAGGTGGTGGAGGATCCTCCAAAGCCACAAAAGAGGTGAGGCCCCGGGGCACATGGGGGTGGCCGGGGGCTGTGGGGCTGCCTGGGCCCAGGGCAGGCCTGGGAAAGTCCTGGAAAAGGAGGAAAGTGGCCTTAATGGGAGGGGGGTCCCAGCACTGTCCTGCCACAGGCAAGCCACGGTTTCGCACTGGGAAGACACACACCTCCTGCTCCAGTGGCCCCAGCTCCGAGGACACCCATGTTCCCAGCTGGAGCCAAAGGAGCGCTTCCAGAACCACCTCCCCAAGCTCATCCCTCCACAGCCATCATCCCAGCCGGCTCTGCAGCCCAACCCCATCTCCCCTCCCCGCAGAGATGGAAACTGTCCTCAGATGAGGCTCTTACCACGAGAAGCTCTGGTGCAGCCAAGGCTGGTGGGATGGGGGGGAGCACGGGGGGCGGGAGGTTGGTGGGGGGCAGCCGAGGCCCCATCCACTCCGTGTGGCATTGCAGCATCCCCACCTCTGCCTGGAGCTGGGCCAGCTCCTGTGCCTGCCGCTGGGCTGCCTGTGAGCCTGGGGGCCAGATCACCATCACCATGGGGTTTATACTGCCCCATAGCCCCCCAGCAACCCCTTCTCGGGATCCCATTGGGCTCGTGTTCAGGGTCACTGAGGGGGGTTCCACTTGTGCTGCTGTTCTGATTCTTTGTCCCTTGTTAGCCACGCAGTGTCTAAGGGAACATTGTCCCCCTGTCAGTGCTGTCACTGTGCAAGGTCAGGCACAGAGCCCCCACCGTGGGCTGTGCAGTTACAGACCCCAACTTGCACGTATTTGCATGAGCCCAGGGGCTGTGGGGTGCCGATGGGGCTCCCCCTTCCCTGAACCCACAGAACTGGAGAATCAAAGAATCCTAAAACAGTTTGGGTTGGAAGGGACGTTCAAAGGTTCTCCAGTTCCAAGCCCCTGCAGTGAGCAAGCACAGCTTCAGCTAGATCAGGTTGCACAGAACACATCCAACCTGGCCTTGAACGTCTCCGGGCAACCTGTGCCAGTGTTTTACTACCCTCATTGTAAAAGATTTCTTCCTCATCTCCTGCCTGAATCTCTTCTTTTAGTTTAAACCCATCACCCCTCACCCTGTCACAACAGGCCCTGCTAAAAAGTCTCTCCCCATCACCTACCGGCATCAGCTCTCCTCTCCCTCCTGACCTTCACTGCCAAGAGCTCATCTTCCAGCCGCCGGTTCTCCAGCTCTACCACCAGCAGCGCCGCATCCAGGCCCCGGGCACCAGTGCTGGAGGGCTCTGCTGGCACAGCTGGGGGGGCTCAGTTGCCAGCAGTGGGTACAGGGCCTAGGCTGGGCAATGGGGCTGGGGTTAGTGCTTACTTGGCCTCTTGCCTCTCTGCTGCCCTTGGGGTCCTTTCTCCAGCACCGTGGCCTCCACCTGGAGGTGGAGGAGCTGGTCCAGGATGTGCGGGTCGTGTCCCCCAGCTCGCAGGTAGGACAGGCGCAGGGCCCTGCCGCAGCCAGGAATGAGCCGGTGCTGGGGCTCATCGGGACGCTCAGCTCAGAGCCGCCATCACCCACAGCCCTCACCTGGCCTCGGCGGCGAGCGGCCCGGCGGCTGGCAGGAGGCTGTCGAGGTGCAGGGTGGCCCTGGGGAGGCACAGGGAAATGGCCACGGGGTTCTTGATGGAGAGCACCTGCTCCACGGGTGCTCCGTGATGGGGTGCAGAGCCCTGCTCCTCCCAGCCAGGCCTCACTGTCTGTGTGCTGCATCCAGGTGTCCGACCAGGTCCTGCGGGGCTGCGGGGGCCTGGATCAGCTCCACATCCCCCTGGCTGGGAGGTTGGGCCTCCATGGCTGCCTGAGCCCGCAGTGCCGCCAGCCGCTGGCACAGCCCTGTGGGACAGTGAGGGGCTCAGCACGACCCCCCACTGCACCCCAAGGTGCCTCTCCCCCCCACCCCAACCCCTGCCTGCACCCACCCTCTCTCTGCTGCTCCAGCTGCTGGGTCCTGGCCCGGATTTCGGCCATGTGGCGTTCATGGGCCTCCACCAGCTCCTGTGGCCGCTGCCGGTGCCCCTGCGGTGGGGCTGGCCGCTGGGCGGGCGCATCCTGCTGCACAGGGAGCTGCAGCGGGCGGGAGGGGCCGGACCCCACCAGCCATGGGGCAGGGAGCCGATGCCCACCCCGGGGTGCGGGGCTGGCCGTACCTCCACTGTGGTCCTCCTGGACGCGGGCTCGGCCGCACGGAGCAGGGCCCTCTCGCGGGGGGTGAGCACGGCCCCCAGGGGAGCTTCCCGTGCTCGCCTGGGCCCCTGCATGGCCGGTGAGGCGCCGGGAAGCAGGAGGAGGCGGCCTGGCCCGGCGTGGTCCCCAGCCTGGGGCACCCCGGCCTCCGGGAGGCAAATGGGAAGGGGGAAAAAACTGCTTAATTAATGCGAGCTTTCCTGGCAATAGACGCACCAAGGGTTCCCCGTGTGATGGGGTGTGTGTGTGTGTGTGGGGCACGGAGCCGGTGTGGCTGTGAACCCCCATTTCCTCACCCGCAGCACCCGTCCCTGTCCCCATCCCCACATTACCGTGTCCTGCGGCCTCCCCACCATGCCCGGAGCCCCCTCCACAGGCAGCGGGTCCCCCTTAGGGAGGCGGGAGCGGGCGGCCGCCGGAATCCCGAGGCACAGCTTCTCCTCATGCGCCCGCAGCAGTGGCCGGGAGCTGAAGGCCATGCGGCAGCGGGGGCAGGTGAAGGCCGCCATGTCCAGCATGCGGCACCCTGGAAGCGCAGCGAGGGGGTCACTGTGGGGTGCCCCTGCCAGGGGAGAACGGGGCGTTCTGCTGGGGGTGGCACAGACCTGCTCCGTGCTGCTGGTGGCTGCCGTGTTTGAAGCCACCGTTGCTAGGCTGGGCCAAGCTGGGCGCGCGGCCGCACCCTCACCCTGCCCATTCCCGCTGCTCGGGCACCAGAAAGGGGGTAAAATGGCGCTTGAGAAGTGAACAGCAAACAGGCTGGGGAGGCCCCATCCCGCAGTCCTCTCCCTTCGGTCGGTACAGAGCACTCCTGCCAGCCACGCCGGCCCCGCCGTGCCCCTTTTCCTCCGGGCGGCCGCTCACAGCAGTGCCCCGCAGTCTTTAAGCTCCTCCTCCGAAGTGAGTTGGCTCCATCCAGCCACTGCCCCCCCCCCGTCACGGCCACAGGCTTCTCCAGAACCCCTGCCCTCCTTCGGTCCTTGCCCCGTTCTCTGCTGGCACCGCCAGGCTCACCTCAGGGCACCGGTCACCTCCCCCCGCGATTCAGATAAGGTAAAATTCTTCCCTGTGAGGGTGCTGAGGTGCTGGCACAGGTTGCCCACAGAAGCTGTGGCTGCCCCATCCCTGGCAGTGCCCAAGGCCAGGTTGGATGGGGTTGGAGCAACCTGCTCTAGTGGAAGGTGTCCCTGCCCATGGCAGGGGGTTGGAGCTGGGTGAGCTTTAAGGTCCCTTCCAACCCAAACCAGTCTGGGATTTGGTGAGAGTGGGTGATTTACTCAGGAAGAAGCAGCAGTTTGGTGTGTGAGGGATTGCTCGGTGAGGTTCCAGGGGAAGCCAGTAACACTCCAGCAGCTTCACTGATGTTTAAACCACGCAGAGCCCATAGGAGGGCAGCCACACAGCAAATGCAGGAAGAGATCAGACCAAAAAGCAGAGAGCTCTCATTACCCATGTGCCCTGCTGCGCTGTCCCTCTACCAGGCTATTCCTTACTCCAGGCAGCTCTTCAGCACCACTTCACCCACCACAGGTGGCTGTCAGTGTGGATTTGATTTAACTTACCCCATTTCTTGACACCACCACAAGCACCTTTCAGTTTTTCACTGAAATGGAGGTAAGGAGTTACACTTTTATAAACTGGACAAACTTCTCCAGACAAAACCAATGATGTTTGATAGCAGCAAAGCATTAGGAACTTCAGGTGATCTGTGAAGTATCTTAAGAGGAGCCAAAGCACTTCCCCAAAGGAAAGGGTTGAGACCATGAAGAAGGACTCCTGAGCTCTGGTGTCTGCAGGAGCTGGAGGCACAAACAGCAGTTAGACCTGGTGTCCCTGAGTGTTCCCTTGAGTCCAGATGAAAAGATTCACAACTAACCATTCCCGTTCCATGACACATCTGTCCTGTCTGCCTGCTCAGCAGCGGATTGAGAAATACCCAAGCGAGACCTTGGGTGAGACCCCCTCAGGTCAGTGAGACCCGAGCACTTCCCTCCAACCCATCTGCAAACAGTGCACAACCATGCGGATGCTTTCCAATCCAAAACGTTTGTGTAGCGGCTGAACTTAAAACAGACACTAAAATAGCTTAGGCCACAACTGAGTTGTTTGTAAAATCCTTTTTAATCTAATAGAAATGTTTTCATGAAGTTTTAAAAAAGATTTCAATGAAAACAGCTTTGGATTCAGACATTCCCTTGCCACGTTGTGAACAGAAACAGCAGCATTGCACTAGGAACAAGTGACACCGACCGGTCGAGCTTCACCATTTTGTATGAAGCGGGAAAAAGAAAAAAGCAGCAAACTGCTTCAGTAGAAGAGAATTTGAATCATTTTCTTTAAAGAAAAAAAAAACAAACCAAAACCCAAAAGAGAAACCAACCAACCATGGGCTATCATCTCAGCATTGTTCTCCCTCTCCCATCTTAAAGGGAGAGTTTAGCTTCTGCAGTCTGAGTGCTACAGCGATGTTTGCCAAGTGGAAAAAATACAGTGGGAGAAGAAACTATTTATCCCCAGTGCTATTAAATCCCCCAAAGTTGCAAGTCCCTTTACAGGAAAGCTTCTCTTACATAAGAAAGACAATTAGAATTGGCAAACTGATGCAAAATATTTATTCCAAGTTAGTTATTTTTGATGCAGTAGTTTTTCCCCCTCATACAGACTCAATGTGATAGTCACTTTTTTAAATCTGTAAATAATGTTATCAAAATAATCTTAATCTTTGAAATCTCACAAAAAATTTATATTTTACAATCCACCCTGAATATCAAGGCTGCAAGAAGAAGAACACAAACAATTCCTATATCCAAATATTTTACAGCTGTACCCAAAAAAAAAAGAAGAAAACCACAAACGCCTGGTTAAGTGATGAAGCTCCCCGAGCCGCCAAAAAAAAAAATAGAATAAAATAAAATATCCATGTTATTAGCATTAATTTAACATAATTAGAACTTCAATAGCCATTTTTGTCATTGACAATGATTGTTTTAGCACACTGTTGCCGCACGCCATTGTGTAATGCGGGCGGCACTGTTAGAAGCTTGTTGTTGCAAAGATCAGTCAGCCACTTGTATCCTGCTTACAAGACTGAACTTGTGCACTGCCCCACAAGGGATTTTTGTCAAAATTTGCTAGCTGCACAAACTTCTATTAAGCATTAGGGCAAAACCAAAAGAAAAAGCTAAAGAAGCCAATTTCTCTCTTTGGGATACAATTATTTCCCTTGTGCATGAAGTATCAACAACAAAAGAAAAAAACTGAACAGACTGGAGACAGAATAAACTCTGTTTAGTTTATACAACCCCAAACACGTGTTGAACTATGAACTGAGTTTATTGGGTTGGTTTTATTTATTTTAATTTTCTTGTGCCCGCTTTCAGGCATCGTCATCTGACGTTTCGCTGCTACTAGTTTCTGTGTCTGAGTCCTCAATCTTTGTCTTAAAAGTGCTTCTCCAGTGGAACAACAGGCTGGAGCCGCGGCCCTGAAGAAATCCATTCTTCCCAAATCCATTTCTTCTTCGCTGTAGGAATGAAAGTAAGTTTTGAAACAAGCACAAGCATGGAGAGTGACTGTCACTAACCATCTGTGGGCACAAATTACATGTTTAACTGTCTACACCCACACTGCATGGATAATGCAGTCATTGACTGCACTACAATTTCACTTCAACCCTTTGTCTTTTCTAGTATCTGTAAGAACTACACCACAGACAACCTGTGCATGAGAAGGGAGAGGGAGAAGAGCAGTCACAATTGGCAAGAGCTGTAAAACATACCTGCTCTGATTTAATTTGGAACTCTTTGAGCTCATCCTCCGTGAGGGGAAGGTAGTTCTCATCATTTTCAGGATATTCCTGCCATCCCATTTCTTTCAATAACCTGATTTGTGGAGGAAATAAAAATTGGAATTAAAGCAAGGCAACAGTTGCAAAGGAGAGGACGTTTTGTCCACAAAGCACAAGGTTTTGCAGTAAACCACTCCCAAATCACCAGGGAAACTTCTGATATTAGACATGACTTCAACAATGCTTCATGTTCACCCAACATTTTTCAATGTCTTTTACAAATATTTAATCATGAGGAGTCTTGTACAATGGGTAAATAACTGGCCTGGCAGACAAAAAAGCAAGGCAGAGATTTGAAATTCTACCCAAGGATACTGAAGAAGGACATGAGGCAATCAAACCAGTATCACAGCTCAGAATGTCCTAAAACTTCCTATCTGCTTGCGCCAGATGCTCACACACTGCTTGTTTACTGAAGGGAGATACAAGCTTAGATAGTAGGTAAACACTTTATTCACCCTCTTCCACTTTTACAGCATTTAAAGCAGCACAGGAATATTCTATGCACAAACAGAAGGAAGTGGTGTGTGTGTGTGTGTGAGGGTGTATCTTCAGTCTTCAGACTATTACATTTAGGACACCTGCTTGTACATCAACCAGAATCACACCAGGTTCATGCTGACTCCCAGTGTGGGCAGGTAAATATCTAGGCAGCATTAACACACAGGGACGTGGGCACTGGAGAAGCACTGGAATTTAATTACAGACCATGGTAAAGTCTTGGCTCACCTGTCATCAGTGTCTTGTTTTAATTTCAGTGAGGCTCCACCTAGTCCAGCACTACCCATGAAGCCCACACACTGGCTTAGTGTGCACAAAGCTACTGCTGCTTCTGAAATAGTTTCCTTCTCCTCACACAGTCCAAGGATTCACCCTCCTTTACTCAAGACACTTTATTTTGCCATTTACTCACCTGTGTTCTGCTTCCAATGAATGAGAGAGGTTTTCCCCCTCCTCTGGCAAAGGGAGAGAAAGGCCATTCTGATGGCAGTTCTCTTCCCAGTTTTCCTTTGGTTCTGGTGTGCTGTTGCTCTCCATCTAAAGAAAAACAAAAGCATCAAAGAGTGCTTGCAAAGACCATGCCAATAGCAGATTTCCCAGTCCACGCTTCTGGTTTTGGAAGTAAAGTCAAGCCTTTCACCTTGAGTCAGTGTTTTTTACAGAGCCTGCATTGACAGTGGTTTAATGCAACTTCTGCCTGACTGTGACAACACAGTATGAATGATGTTTGGTAG